TGTAACTGTTGAATAAATAACTTTATACCCGAACTTCAATAATTTAATATATTTTGATAAAAATATTTCTCATTTACAACGTGACTCCTAGTAATTTGTTAATTAATAACACAATTTTCGTAACTTCAATAATTAGTCATTCATACCATCATGTCACTTACAACAAAAGAAATGAGTATATGACATTGGCCACCCACGTGAATACCACTTTAACTAATTATAAATGTCTGACTAATTGCAAGACAAGATCATTTCCAATCAATGTTCCCACTGTATTTGGTTGGTTACCTAAAAATTTCATAACATATGCCTGATGCCATATGAAAAAAAAAGTCGTAGACTTTTGAATTATTTCTCAAATGATTTATGTATGTATTAAAATACATTCGAATTTAACGTTAGGAAAATGTACGTAATAAATATTCTATTCTAGTTGATTGTATTGTATGAGTATTACGACTGAACTACCTCCAAATATAAACGCATGACTTACAAAATGAAGTTACTAATTTAACTTAGTAAGTCCGGTAGTAAAATATTTTGCATCGATATACACAGCTTAATAAGATTTCGGAAAACGTCTTTGTTAGTAAGCATTGGAAAAATATATGTTGTAAACAAAGTAATTGCGAAAATAATTATTATTGTTACATTATTGTCTTGCTAAGGCACTAAAAAGCTAAGCTCTGGCCAAAAGTGTTTCAGTATTTATACGTTTTAATACCTAATTAAAACTATGGTTTCGTCTCGCGTTTTTTATTGTTATTTCCAAAGTATTGTTAGCAAATTCTCTCAGTTTCAGCCCGTGAGCTCACCTGTCCATCCGCGAGAAACTGGAATAGCCCCTTAGGCTACCAACCATTAGGCAGGTGCAAAAAAAAGACATCAAACCTAAATTAAGCCGTAATAATATATCATTTAAGTCTACGAGCTCACAAAAACCGAATAAAATACTATATTCATATTTGGTTATTTAAAATGAATATAAACTCTTGAACATCTCTTTGTCATCGACGAATGAGCTCGCTTGTAGAGCTGGCTTGTTTTTATAGTTGAATTGCTTCCATTCGTATCCCCAAGACGACGTGCTGGGTCAGAGCCATTGTTTTTTTTATAACTTTATTTTTTATATATATTTTTTTGGGGGGGCCGAACCTCCTACGAGGTCTCCGCGCCTAGGGGGCGTGCGGTATGTGGGAATGGTCCACGACTGCGAACCGCGGGATCAAGGATATTCGGAAGAACCATTATCTTAATGGTTACACACTTACCTCCGCTAAACACGCCCTATTACCATTAAAAATAAACTGATTTCGTGGATATCGTTTCACGACTGCGAATGAGTCACGGTTGTTACGTGCCGTCATCAATGTGCGCACTTCGCCAAACTATCGAGTTGTTTACATTGCTATTGATCGCTTATGCAACTGAGCAGACGCACGAAACAAAAGTTTGCCAAAACAGTTGGTACCAATGTTGGCCGAAGAATTAGTAAAGTTTCCTTCATAATCATTCCTTCAACGTCTTCTAGAAACATGCTTTTGTGACTCAAATTCGCATTTAAGCTCGTAATGCTATAAAATCGTACCTAATAATTAACCGCCTTGTACATTTATTACAATACTTACTAATCAGGCGAAGATTGGCCGAAGAATCAGTCAAGTTTCCTTTTTAATAATTCCTTCAACGTCTTCTAGAAACATGCTTTTGTGGCTCAAATTCGCATTTAAGCTCGTAATGCTATAAAATTGTACCTAATAATTAACTGCCTTGTACATTTATTAGAATACTTACTAATCGGGCGAAGATTGGCCGAAGAATCAGTAAAGTTTCCTTTATAATCATTCCTTCAACGTCTTCTAGAAACATGCTTTTGTGGCTCAAACTCGCATTCAAACTGGTAATGCTATAAAATCGTACCTAATAATTGACTGCCTTGTACATTTATTAGAATACTTCCTAATCATTAGTCTCTAGTAGTATCCTCATATACTCCGATTTTAAGTCGTCTACTCCTTACTCGAATTCAGAATTGAAATAATAACTAACAATAGATACTGCAAGGTGAGCCTATTGGAAAGACAAAATGAACGTCGCTACCAACATTCAAGAGATAATACTGAAGTGTCGCATCTTTACGGGAAGGCAGAAATATGCAGAATTGTGGAACCAATTAAAATAAAATTTAACATAACTTTTCTGAATGACACCAATAGCATTTTATTTTATAACATTCGGGTCTGGTACCCCTTCTGGGATCCCACATCACATGTTTATCAGTTTTGTAGTGGTCATTGTTAATATTAGATCGTCATTTATATCATGATCGTCATTATGAACCTTGAAAGCAATCATGTCCACCCTATAACGCTATAAAAGTAATGCGTAGATGATACAAAACGCAATTTTATACTAGTAAATAAGATTATACAATACGAGTATATACACTGGAGTATATAGACTGGTGTCCGCGCGGGTAGATACCACCACCCTGCCTATTTCTGCCGTGAAGCAGTACAGTAATGCGTTTCGGTTTGAAGGGTGGGGCAGCCGTTGTAACTATACTGAGATCTTCATACTTATAGGTATATCTCAAGGTGGGTGGCGCATTTGCGTTGTAGATATCTATGGGTTCCAGTAACCACTTAACACCAGGTGGGCTGTGAGCTCGTCCACCCATCGAAACAATAAAAAAAAATACTAGTATAAAATTGCGATCCTCGAGTTTCAATGTGTTTAAAAACTTTTCCCACAGCAATTTCTGTTTTATATTCACGGACATCAGTGAAGCCAGGCCCAGCCAGACCACTAAGTACAAAGTGGAATGTTATAGCAAATTTTACGTGTAAAACGAAATCTCCAAGCAAACTTTATGACACTTCAATATCATTCGACTGTGTCATGTGACTAAATCACATGCTCTATAAAATTTTCGTTACAAACAGTAATACGGATAGTGGGCAGAGCCGATGTTTGAAATAGATTTCCTGTCTGAAACCATTCATTACTACGAAATCATCTAATTATACACAATTCGATGTAAGTTTTGTTAGCTTCAGTGAAATCAAAAGGTACATTTACGTTTTAATCGATGCATTACAATCACACCGGTTGATACTTTTTAAGAAAATTTAAAAAAAATTAAATGTTTTTTTTGATGGGCGTAATAACGGCCTATCTGGAGTTAAGTGGTTACCAGAGCCCTTTGACATTAACAACGTAATTGCCGCCACCAGTTTTGAGACATGAATTCTAAATTTCAGTTTTTGTAATATAATGGCTGCCCCACCCTAAGCTGAAAAGCATGACTGTTTCACGGCAGAAATAGGCAGGGTGGTGGTGGTACATACCTTTGTGGGATTATTAAACGCCCTAATCCCAGAAAATTCTAAGTTCACTTTCTAAATTCAACCATGAAATTTTCAATTTGATCCAATCCAAATTGATCAATTTGACATTCAAAAATGATCTTTACGTGTCTTCAATTCTTTAAGTGCATTCATCATTATCCTACCCTTCTCCCAGTTACCTGGGGTCGGCGCAACATGTTTTCTCCTTCCATAATCTTCTATCATATACCTTTTCTTCGCTCACTCCCCTCTTACCCATATCGTCTTTCACGCAATCCATCCATTTCTTCTTAGGTCTACGACTTCCTCTATATCCTTCCACATTCATAGTTAACATTTTCTTACCAACCTTATATTCATTTCGTCTCATCACATGTCCATACCATCCTAAACGCGCACTTCCAGCTTCTCTGCTCTCGCGCAATTCTTTAAGTGCATTCTCACTAATATAATCTTAAACGATTTTAACGGAGAATGAATAGAAATTATCAGAAGAACCTTGAAAGAAATCAAAAAAGAAATCTTTGTTGTCAAAAAACAAAATGCCTTCTCTTCAACTTTGTTTTTTATGTTCTTCTCAACAAAGCTTACAATACACTGGCCTTATTCAATCAACGACTAAAACATATTTCGGTTGCATCACAAGTTGATTTTAGTGTCAGCTAGCAAGAGCCAGTTTCAAAAACGATAGCAATTAATCAAGTCTCCGTCACATAATATTCACCTGTTAAATGAAAAGTCACCTGACTTCTCCAGCGCTGTTGCCAACGAATGAACGGATGCTGAACAAAAATTTACGACGCTATCTGATTTACTGACTATAATAAAACCGGAGCCACTTGTATTTCAGAGTACCGAAGTGTGAATGCCGTTATATTAATTTCAATGTCTCACGAATAGCCGATTCTATATTGTTTATCATGTTGATTTTCAACAAATGATATGCCTGGTAAATCAGATTGATAGTTTTGATGATTCTGTTGATTTGACAAATGATAATATATATACGTTAATGTTTTATTGTATGGATGGGTGGATGAGCTCATGGCTATGTGAATCTCTGCACCACATTCAGACACAAATAGGCTTACTACCATAAAGTTCAGAGCTTTAAAACCTATCTCTGAAGAATTTTCTTGAAATATTTTTTGGAGTGCTTTTGCTTTGAAATTCATTGATAAAACCTTATTTTACGAGTTTTTTATCTATTCTATCGATTAAACTAAAATACTATATTGATCAACGCAGTGTAGAGTTTCCAGCTTAATAAGCACTATTTAACATTTTCTATTCTATTCTATCAGCCCACAGACGTTCACTGCTGGACATAAGCCTCTCCCAAGCCTCGCCACAAAAACCAGTCCTGCGCTAATTCAAATTTCAATTCAAAGTTCGATCAGTTGTAAATCGTTCAAATACAATGCTGATGCATTAAATATTCATCGGCGTATACAGCAAGCCCTATCCCAACAGTTGCATCCAAATTAAATCAAAGGTCTATTAGATCAGCTTCTATCTTGGGCGGAAAACACCTCTGCACCAGCACGTCACGTCGTGACGAGTCCGTTATCCAACCGGTGGCTGCAGCGGCCCACGCGAATTCCGCTCCGCCCGCCTCGGCCCAGCGCCAAATTTCCATAGTTTAGTTACGATTTCGAAAACGACCCGACGCGTTCCGCCGCCGGCGACAACCCAACCGATCTCTGTCACGATTCTATACTATAACCTTCGTCAAGTTCTCGAACGTAAACTTAACGTGCCTATCGAAGACCATTTAGTGCTTGTGATTTGACTGTTGTGCACCTAAATATATATATATATTATTGGATTTATTTACCCTCTCAACTGGTACGTAAAGCGTTCTGTTACGATTAATACAATATTCTTTAATATGCTTAATTCTGCTGTGAAGCAGTAATGCGTTTCGGTTTGAAGGGTGGGGCAGCCGTTGTAGCTATACTTGAGACCTTAGAACTTATATTTCAAGGTGGGTGGCGCATTTACGTTGTAGATGGCTCCAGTAACCATATCACACCAGGTGGGCTGTGAGCTCGTCCACCCATCTAAGCAATAAAAAATAAAAAACATCTTTAACTTTAAAAGTTTTTCGTAAAAAAATCCAACAAATTTATATCTAACGATTATTTTTAAATTTTTTTTTTAACATTTAGTTATTTATTTATGAACTAATTCCGTTTTTTCCTAGTTAGAGAAAGTAAAACTTGCGAAATATTAACACATAAAAATAGTGAAAAAAAAAAATCGAACTAAATAACTAGATATGTCATTTTGTGTGAAGATACTTTCGCGTTGAGATGAAACCGGAGGGGCCTTCGTACGCGGTATTAAAATAGAAACGAGACGTTTCGTTCAGAGTCGTGAAAATTTTAACACCGGGCACCTACTTTCTTACACTTCACCTTGCGGACGCAGATGGTTCTGACCGCGCTGAGCGTGACTCACAAACATCTGAAACGTCTAGCCAAGATTCTAATGCTAAGCCCAAGGATACTAGATGGACGGCTTCAGATGAACGATGCGAGCCACGCACGCTCTTTAATGAAATCAACTTACAGTGCTGAAAAGATCATAAGTAAAAAAAAGAAAAAAAAAAGCTTTTTAATTTTTTATTTTAATAATAACTCATTTTTTTTTTTAAACATATTTTGCGTTTTATGTGCAAAAAAAGCTTTTTACAGATATAAAATATTGTAAATGTTAATATAATAAATTTTAGAATACGTTCCGAAATTGTTGCTAAGGTTTTCGTCAGTCGCAAATGTAATTAATACTACGTACTTTTGCGATTATCAATTTATATTTATAATTTCCAACATTTCGAATGCTTTACAGTTTTAATGATTAAGTCATGCATTTGAATAACGTATCTCTCGACATAAGAAAGAAAATGGGAGGCGTTTGCATTTAAATAAGTCTACCTTCTTTAACTGATATAATTTTTAATAATTTTTTTCTAAGTTCTAACATATATTTCCCTTACCCCGACGCGCTAAATGTATTAAAAATATTAATTAGTTAAAACTACTCACACTCCACCTGTGGACGTCGATGATACTCTGACAGAAACATTTCCTGTATGTATGTCAAAGGTTCGAACTTAATGTAATAAATGGTTAAGAATTGCATTTTTTTTTTATTGCCCAGATGTGTGGACGAGCTCATAGCCCACCTGGTGTTAAGTGGTTACTGGAACCCATAGACATCTACAACGTAAATGCGCCACACACCTTGAGATGTAAGTTCTAAGGTCTCACTATAGTTACAACGGCTGCCCCACCCTTCAAACTGAAACGTATTACTGCTTCACGGCAGAAATAGGCGGGGCGGTGGTACCTACCCGTGCGGACTCACAAGAGGTCCTACCACCAGTAAGATAGAGGATAAACGAACAAATGACAAGTTTCGTTGTAAGGATTCTAACTGATATGGCTCAAAAATAATAAAGCGTAGAGCACGGTATTACCTAAGTCAAATGAGCTAAAATTCTTCAAATGCAAAATGTCTATTCGGTTTTTTAAACGAGACCAGATTGCCCGTTTAACATTGCTTTTTGCTCAAGAAAGCTAAAGAAAAGAAAGAGAGAAACAAATTTACGGATTCTGTTGAAGTACTATTACTTAGCACCTATGTGCTACCTAAAAAATGACAAAATTTACCTTAAGCTCACCTTAAAATAATCTCCGACTAATCCTTAGATCAGCAGCTGTTACTTTCCCAACGCACGTACGCATTTTTGCACGTACACAAAATTTTCTAGAGTTTGTAATAATAATGGTTCAATTATTAATATTATTTTAAATATTCCAAATTCGTACTAGAAATTTCTAGATTCCAAATTCCAAAAGTCTTTAACAAGGAATAGAAACTGGACCCCGCAGACATTTTTGCACGTACACAAAATTTGCTAGAGTCTGTGAAGATAATGGTTGAATTATTAAATTTATTCTAATTATTTCAAATTCGTAGAAATTTCTAGATTCCGAATGACAAATGTTTTAAGCAAGGTATCGAAAGTGAAGCCCGCGGTACCGTAGTTAAAAATTTAATTTAAAAATAGAGACAAATCCTAACGGTGCTTTTAGGCACCACAAGCACCGGTCACCGTCCTCGTCGAACCTGTCGCTTGCGACGAAGGGCTCGGTGAGTAAATTAACCCACAAACACAGCCCACTGAGTTTCTCGCCGGATCTTCTCAGTGGGTCGCATTTCCGATCCGGTGCTAGATTCTGCGAAGCACTGCTCTTGCTAGGGTCAGTGTTAGCAACTCTCCGGTTGAGCCCCGTTAGCTCACCTACAAACGTTAGGGTGAAGCTGAAATAGCCTCTCAAGGCTATCAGCATAGGTAGGAAGAAAAAAAAAAGAGACAAATGTTATTATTATTTATCAGTTACTATAAAAATTAATAATTAATCTATACCATTACACAATGTTTGATATGAAGAACTAAATGAACAATTACTAAGAAACTTTTACTTTTAATATTCAAATTATAATAGTAAAATAAGGTTTCTTTTTTTCAAATATCCTTTTATGAATAGCGAATTCAACCCAGATTATTTCAATTTCATTTCGCAAATGTTATAATTGAAATGATCTGTGAATTAAAAAATAAAACAATTGAATATGACATCATAATAAATTGCTGTCCTAATTTATATTAAAATTTCCTAAATTTTGTATATTACGTGGATAATTAATTATTTTCAGCATAATATATAAGAATTAAAATACAAGAATCAGCATATATTGCAATTAAAACAACTTTTGTTTGCAATTAATTAAAACAACTTTTAGGATGTAATCTCCCGTTTATCTAACTCATTTGAAATTTTCAAATTATACATTTTACAGTTTTTATGGGCTAAAGTTTAATGAAATTTGTAAATTTGGTTTATTTTAATTTAATATCTTGAGATTCTTTACATAAAGACTGATGATAATGATTAGATTTCACTATGACTTTAAGATCTATTAGGAAGTTGGCGCGTCGATTAATGATTTTTTTTTAAAGTGAATTTCTTTATTAATTTTTTATTTCTTTATAAAACTAACGACTTTTTACTGTTGGTAGGTCTTGTAAGCCCGCACGGGTAGGTACCACTACTGTCTATGTCAATATCTGCCCCTTTCTATATCTGCGGCGAAGCAGTAATGCGTCTGCGGTAGCCGTTGTACTATAAAACTAAGACTTAGAATTCATGTTTCAAACAGCATTTACGTTGTTGATGTCTATGGGTTCCGGTAACCACTCAACATCCGGTAGGCAGTTCTCTCGACCGCCCAACTGGGCAGCAAAAAATGCTTTAAGTGATTTAGCTTAGGATCGTGTGATAATGTGTAATTTATTTAAATACTAGCTGACCCGGCCGACTTCGTAGTGCCTTAATCGATAAATAAAAGACCTAAACTTTTGTATAAAATAAAAGGAATCCGTCCAACGGAGTAACGGAGGACACATCAAAGGAAAAACAAAATTCGAGCACTTTCATATTTTTTCACCTTTTAAACCTTCCCTGAACTTCCACAAATAATTCAAGACCAAAATTAGCTAAATCGGTCCAGCCGTTCTCGAGTTTTAGCGAGACTAACGAACAGCAATTCATTTATATATATATAGAGATTCAAGAGCGTTATAATTTCCAGGTCAGGTTCTGAGGGGTAAGGTCAGTATTCCAAGCGTAATGACCTGTAGTTAGCGCAATGGGGGTCACCGACGACTTTGCCCCGAGCTTCACGCAGAAGCCGCAACTGCGGCAAGAGGACGACGGGAACAAGCTGGTTTTCGAATGTCAGCTACTCGCGTCGCCCAAGCCAGAGATCAGCTGGTTCAGAAGCGATGAACAGCTCCAAGAGGACAACAGAACTAAATTTAAGTAAGTACCTTAATGTTCTTAAGTACTTTAGTTTACTTTTTAAGTGCTTTAATGCTCTTCCATATTATCTGAAACCGCTCGCGTTCATCGACAGTGCGTTTCCAGAGGTCTTTTTTGCCACGTACCATCCGGCTATGGAATGAGCTCCCTTCCACGGTATTTCCCGAGCGCTATGACATGTCCTTCTTCAAACGAGGCTTGTGGAGAGTATTAAGCGGTAGGCAGCGGCTCGATTCTGCTCCTGACATTGCTGAAGTCCATGGGCGACGGTAAGCACTCACCATCAGGTGGGCCGTATGCTCGTCTGCCTACAAGGGCAATAAAAAAAAATCTTTTCTGGTAGTAGTCTGTTATTCGTGGCAATGTGAACATGCCACCGCAACCCCGTCTCTTACTATTGGGGAGCAGTTTAGCGTTCCGAATTGTTTGACAGACCCTAAGTACCGTCCTCGCCCTTAGGTACCGTCTGTTAAATGTCAAACGCATGATAGTTGATAAACTAAGCAGAAGTTGCTTACCGTAATCTTTACGGCCGTTTGTACCAAAAAATAAATGTATATAAAAATGTTTATATGACAATATCAAAAGGTTTACTTTAATAAAATCGGTATTATATATGTTTTAACATCCCTTTTCATGTATATAAGTGCGTCGAAATATGGAAAATAAAATGAAGGTACCCGAAATGGTAGCTATTGATATTGGTTGCATGAATAGGTTGGACAATGTGATAAAAACATTGTTACCGTTACGATTGTTTTTCAAAAGTATTTCAATTAAAAACAATCTTGTATTTTCTTATGTTTTCGCGAGCCGTGATTAAGCCATAAAAGTACTTTATGGCTTAATCATGGGTTTTTTACTCTCATTATTGACATTGTCAGCAATTTCCCATCATTTTGCTTTATTTTATCTATAAATCAATTATCTATATCAATCTATATCAATTAACGCGAATAAACATGTAGTTGTTTAATAAGAGCACAAAATTAAAACACTAGACGCCATCTGTTCAGATTTTCGGCATGCCAAAAATTCCCAACGGCCACAAGAATAGAAAAGTTAATGAACTTCTTTGCCATGATGCCACGTGAATATTGGCTTAGGAATTTAAATATATTTAGGACTTTGGCTATCTACGATTTGTGTACGTGAACTTTCATTTGGTTTATGAATTCAGTAGTTTTTTTATACTACGCCATTATAGGAGAAAAAAAAATGTACTGAATATTTTATCCTTCGTGATTTTTTTTGTAATAATTTCCCGATGATCAGTCGAGTAGTTAAGATGTCAAACCGCAACTAACAAATGTAATCTGTAATTTGATATGACATTTTTGTTTTTCCTTAATTGTGAAAAAAAGCAAAATGGGAATACGATGGTTGTAGACACGGAACGTTTGATTTAATATGTTTGCTCTATTGGAATTATACAGGAAGTAAACATGAAAACAGTAAACCGTAAAACAAAAACTGCGTCGATTTTTGTAAATTAAATTTCACTTAGAATTATTGTTGCTGAAATCTTTTTCTGTTTCTCCCTACCTAGTCTCCGGTAGCGAATCGGAATCGTGACCCACTGACAAGATCTAACGAGACACTCAATGGGCTGGGTCAAATCTTACCTTTATCGTAATAGTTTTATAGCAAAATACATCTCATAATGTTCAATTTGGTAAGATTTGTCGGCGAACGAATCGATTTGCTGGTGGTATGGCGTCTTATGAGCTTGCACAGATATATACCGTACTGCCAACTTCTTGAAGCAATAACGCGTTTCGGTTTGAAGGGGCAGCTGTTGCCTTGTAAAACTGTCGCTTAGAACTCATGTTTCAACTGTTGGTGGTCCATTTACGTTGTTGATATCTATGGGTTCCAGTTGACAGACCGTGAACACGTCCATCCATTGAAGTAAAAAATAAATAACGAACAATATTTTTAAATGAATTAATCGAATATTCTTAATATTTTTACATTACAATTATAAGTACCCTAATGAAACGAACAGGGAGTTGATCTTGAAACGAAATATCTTCAAGATATCATGACGTTTCAAGGAAATCCAGATGGGGTATTACATATGTAGCTCTGGTGAATAGTTGTTACCTTTCTTATTGATTATTTGGCAACGTAATCTGAGAGAGATTCAACTGCACAATGAACAGATTCTATACAATAACGATAATAGAAGCAGCAATACAGTTTAAAAGTAGAGTTAAACCTGGATCGTATTATATGACGGCTGGTACATCTTTCGAAAGGAATTGTTCAAAAATCTTATATCAAAATCTTACATCAATTTCGACGACTAAATTTGAGGTATTTGATTTATTTTAGAGTTGTTTACGTCTTTTAAATTTTAAATTACTCTTCGTCTTCTTATTGACGTGACATATTACAGATATGATATTTTTATCTTAATTTCGATTAAATAACTTATATCTAATTAAATACCTCCTGTTGGTTCGGTTTTCTATTGCTTTAAAAACTGAGGCCATATATAGAACCTAAATAGCCCTCCAAAAGGCCTCGTGAGAAAACTCAATACCACAATCGAGTTGTTCATCGATTGAGAAACGTTTTATTAAATTACATCCTTATCTTTGGCTCAAACTCGTGTTCATTGAATTTAAGCTCTATCTCTTTGTATCAAGGATCCAAAGCATCGCCAACAACAAATTCCTTGTGGTGCTCGAATTGGATGATGTGATCGAGACCGATGCGGGGCTTTACAAAGTTAAGGCCAAAAATAAGATGGGCGAGGTGGCCGCATCCATCAACCTTAATTTTAGCCGTGAGTATATTATCTTATTCGTATATCTTATAACTGTTATTCATCGAATATTCTTAAATGAACCAACGCAGCAACATCTTTCTTATTTCTGCAGTAAGCCATTAACGAGTTCCTATGAAGTGGTGAGACAACTGCTATTCTTGTCGAATAGTTTTCGATTTCAAATCAAGCGTCTATAAGCTCCTATACTACTACAACAGAAGACCGTGAACTCTTTAATAATCGAAGCCAATAAAAAGTATATTAGAACGACAAACATTTGGCCAACAATATGTAAAATCCGAAAACATTTGTCAAAACATTTGTCCCGTAACCGTATACTGGGCCAATAAAAATAATACCTACACAAATAACGGGGTTAGTCATCGACCGAAATACATGCGTGAAAAAAATTATTAAACACCGTAACCCACGCTTAGGGTTCGAGCCAAGCTGTACATTTTGGCAGTAAAATGGTGGTTTGAAGTCGCGGTGACGGTAATACCGACGAAACCATGTCATAATGTAAACAATGTAACTATTGTACTTCGTGAGTAATTCACTAGGGCTAGCTCCGAAATATTTCTTTAAAAAGAATGGGGAAAAAGCTTTTCCTCCAGTGGCGAATCCTCACTTTTGAGTATCGTGACGTTCACAATTATTATCATGATACAACCAGTAGCATTTTTAATGAATGCTTTCTTTAAAGATGGAAGTTGAAAAGAAAACTTTCTTAGAGTTATAATCTCAGGGTCGGTACATTAATGCTTGAAAGAACCTTGAGTCAATTCTCATTCCAGCAAATTTATAATTTACTAGCGGCCCGCTCCGGCTCCGCTCGGGTGTTTAACAAAAATTTCAACGATATTTGACGTTGTTTTATTTTTATAAATAAAAGAACACTTATTACGGCAGACATATGCAGTCGCGTCACTTTTTGTAAATAATAAGTTTTACAAAGTCGTAGTACATTATTTTATTCTATCATCAATAGTTTTCGCAGGGCACGCGATGTAAAAAATATTTTAGGTATTTTTTTTACACCTTGGGTTACATTATTGGAGTTTTAGTAGGGATCCCTATTTTAAAAAAAAAATTATAGCCTATGTCACTCGGGAATAGTGTAGCTTCCAAACAGTGAAAGAGTTTTTCAAATCGGTTTAGTACTTTCAGAGCCTATTCAATACAAACAAACAAACAAATCGTTCCTCTTTATAATATTAAATATAGATAAACTGTTTCTTAATTACATGCTTTCTTAATATTATAAACCGAAGCCCTATCAGTGATTAGTTCAAAGCAGGTAGCTATGTATGTTTAAATCTTAAATTTATTTTCCATCCAATAAAAACATTCCAGAGAGCAGTAGTTTATTTTCAAAGTTATCACCGAGCCGTTTGTTTACATCTGCTCGATGTTTCGCCAATCATTAAATGCCAAACAGAATTATCTGTTAGATTTCTTCTATCATGAATTACTTTCACGATTATAAATTCAATAGTCAGAAATCGTTTAGCAGCTATTTTGAGTGTTCTATCAATGTCTGTTAAATTATTCACTCGATTGGTTTGTTTCAAGATTACAATAGATTGTAATAACAAAGGGCTTACTAAAATAACGGTCTCATTTATTGTTCGTCAACTGCTATTTTTAAAGATTGATTAATAGTTTTCTTTTTTTTTACGGTTTTCAGCCGCTGACGAAGAGAAACAGAAGTGAGTGTTTTATTTTTTTTATGCAATTTTTTTTTTATGTTGACCTTTTACAGAAAATAGGAAAATCGTGAAGGTGTACATAAAATTGATAGAATCTGACTTTAAGTCAATTTAAAAGTTTTATAAAAAATATGTAAAAGCTTTATCGAATCGGTTCAAATATATCCAATTAACAGATCCTTAACACAATGCGATCCAGTTAGCAAGTGGAGTCAACTTATTTTAACTCCACCGTATATAATATTATATTATTTATGTTGAGCTGAATTTGGGCCTTTTCTAACCACGCTAAGTTATTCTAACTGTAATTGCCTGTTAATCTATAAGTTCACAAATTATTATCCTCCATAATATCTCGGATATCGACTATATTGTTATTTCATTCGCCTGCAAATCGCTATTTTAGATACATAAGATCGGACAATTTATATTTTAACTTTGTATGTAGAGCATTTCACATCATAATTGGTTATAATTATTGATATCTATATTACCGACGATCGAGAAAATATTTCTTTAAATTTTGTCCAAAAACTTCGAAGAAATAAATAAAAAAAACTACACGCAGATCCCTATTAAAGTGATTTTAACACGTTCACTGCCATGTAGGCCACCGGTGCCATACGCGGCGCACTGAAGTCACTATGTCGATTTCTCTCTTCGTTCTTCTTATTAAGGCGCCGGAATATCTAGCAGACTCTGGGAAAGACGAATCCACAGATACTGACAATTAATCTATTTCTAAGTGACCTAAAAGACTAAAACATACATTAACAAACAAAATAAGGCAAAGTTAGGCAATCCGAGCGCTTAGTAACAGAAATTCGTAAAATATCTTTAGTGCGCCGCTCTACCGGTACCAGTAACTTACAAAGCAGTCAAAGGGTTAACTAACAGTAAATCCAGCCGTTTATATAGATATGGTGCTAATCTAATAAATACTATATTATCTCATTTTAAGTCTTGTACAATCTTGTACGTATGTTGTTGTCAAAGTAAAGTTAATGTTTCTAGACAACCGGACGGTAAAGCGCCAACGTTCGCGCGTAAACCGGCCATCAGACAAGAAGACGATGGCAAACGGTTGATATTCGAGTGCCGCATTGAGGCTGAGCCTGTACCCGGGGTGACCTGGTTCCACAATGCCGTGGAAGTAAAACCCGGAGCAAGACATAAGGTAAACAATCAAAGACACGTTGAAAATTAGGTAAAACCGAAAATCTTTAAAATAATATCTGAAATAAACTTGCTAATTTTCCACGGGTACAACTATATTATGGTATTTTAGTTAAGAATTATGTGATAGCCGTTATTAACCAACCCATTGACACAGACCGAGTTTCTCGCTGTATTTTCTCAGTGGGTTGCTTTTCCGATACGGTGGTAGATTTTGCGAAGCATTGCTCTTGCTAGGGCCAGTGTTAGCAACACTTTCGGTTTGAGCCCCGAGAGCTCACCTACACGCTAGGGAGAAGCTGAAATAGCCTCTCAAAGCATAAGTAGAAAAAAAAAGTTATTAAACAAAGTTACTTTATGTGATTCAAATTCCAAATATAATGCTTATAATACGCAAAAGGTAGGGCACATGCCTAAACCAACATCGAAAACCTTACTCTTACATCTGATGAAGATAATTCAAAAAGTCCTTATAAATGTAGCGGGTTCGAATGATTATCTTTAGTGTCCTAGTTTTAAAAGTAATTAAAGATGACCTTGACCTCGATCCAGTTGGCTAGGAGCGATGCCAGGTGTCTTGGTGTGCGGTAACCTTGCGTCCTATATTTGTCCTAGCAATGGATTCGAGGTATTTTAAAAATGCAATCTTATTTAAATTAGACTTCCTTCTGAAGCTACTTAGCCTCAGTACAGTAAATTTATTTAAAGCAGCCCCCTCCTTGCGTCGATAATCCTCAATGCTGAGGGTCGTGAACTCGTGAGGCTTTCTTGGGAAAATACACATGGTGGGACACCGTGTCCTTCCATTGCAATGCTTTTAGAAGAGATTTAGTTCTTCGCGGCCGCTGAAACCTTATTTGGGTCCAGCTAATTAGTCGCCGCCAGACATTCGGCGTTGACTGTTTTATGATGAGAAGGTCGAATATCAACTCAACCCTCCTCTTTTCTCATCCGGGCTTCGGACGGGCGTTGGGAGAGCTATTTAATGCATAAGGATTATTAAATGTTAAATTTTGCAGTTGACAGTAAGCAAGGAAGGCAAATCGTACTATGCCTCGTTGGAAATCAACAATGTAACCGTTGAAGATGCCGGGAAGTACAAGGTTACAGCTAAAAACGAACTCGGCGAAAGCAACGCCACGATCAGCTTAAATTTCGACAGTAAGTATGATAACAGTCATTCTGTAATACATACAAAAAATGGTCAAATGAAATAAAATTTATTTTTATTATTAAGTAAAACTCTGAAGAAAAAAAAGCGCTTCGGTTGTTTAACAATGTATGTTTTACTGTGTGGTCCTAATATTCGTATTAGATGTAAACATGTGTCGCTACGAACGTAGATATTGCAGCATAGCTTGTATAATTATTAATGTCATCAACTAATTCCCCCAAAATCGTTTGTACTCTACATTCACACTATTTCGATTTAAGATGTTTTCTTATATCGTTATTTGGCTAACTGTTCAATTATATTATAATTTATTAAGAACACACAAGCACAAATACCATATACACACAACATGCATACTACACACGGCTTCATTAACATAAAATACTTGTATGTTCTTGTGCACGAAATTTATTTTGAAACAAAATTATACATTTATCTTTCGTAAATTATCATTTTGTTATTTACGGTAGTTCTTACGCTATAACTGTGCTTCTATTAACACAACACCCTGCGATTATTTAGTAGTTAGAGACCGTCTTGCAATCTTTTTGCTTTGCAAAGGCANACTACACACGGCTTCATTAACATAAAATACTTGTATGTTCTTGTGCACGAAATTTATTTTGAAACAAAATTATACATTTATCTTTCGTAAATTATCATTTTGTTATTTACGGTAGTTCTTACGCTATAACTGTGCTTCTATTAACACAACACCCTGCGATTATTTAGTAGTTAGAGACCGTCTTGCAATCTTTTTGCTTTGCAAAGGCACTATTAAAACATTAACTGGAGCAACTGAAATGCGTACTATTTTAGACTGAATGTAGAAAGGAGAAAACGCACATAATCCAAAATATTTATGTATATTTATTTTACTATACCATTATATATTTTCTTAAATCCTGAATTAACTCTGCGTATCTTAAAATAATAATAAAATACACGATTCTTAAAGAAAACATCTTAAATATGGCACGTAACATACGAATACAGCTGCAAATCTTCACGTAGTCGATTTAAAATAAATGGATGTTAATAAGTGGATTAATGAAATAGGCGACGAAGCGCCCGTACCTGAGGACTTTATCAAACCAACGTTCACGGAAAGACCGGTCATCAGGCAATCGGACGATGGTACCAAAATCACATTCGAATGCAGATGTGTTGGCAAACCGAAACCAACCATAGCTTGGTAAGCAACGTTTTGAATAAATAAACAATTATTTATTCATCAGTAAAGCGTTCCATTAAACAAAATTCGCCTTCAAAAACAGGTACCATGGCAAAAAAATGATAAAAGAAAGTAGCAGATATAAAATAACGTTAGAAGAGGATCAAACTCTTTATCACATGGCACGACTCGAAATCATAGGCGTAGAGAATTCGGACAGGGGAGAATATAGGGCTTTAGCGAAAAACAAGCATGGTGAAGGTGTAGCGAAAATAAATTTAAACTTCGAAGGAGGAGATAAACCTAAGTAAGGACATTAGTTTACTTTGATAAATTGTTGAAGTCGAGGTTAGGAAAATCCTTTAACTTTTGTATTTCAAACAGAATCCCCGATGGTAAAGCACCAAGGTTCCCTAAAAAGCCTACGATAAGACAAGAAGGGGACTTATTGATAATGGAATGTGTGCTTGAGGCTTATCCAGTCCCAGACATCACATGGTTTCATGGAGACAGAGAAATTAAAGACGGTCCAAAAATGAAGATGTCTAGAAAAGCAACTGGAAAAGATACATTTAACTTAACACTAGAAATTTTGAGTCCTTCTAAAGAAGACGGGGGAAACTATAGGTGTAATGCCTTCAACTTGTTTGGTGAGAGCAATGCCAACATTGCTCTAAATTTCCAAGGTAAAACAAAATGTAATGTAAATTAAAGTATTCAGTTGAATCCTGTAAACAGAGTTAGTTATCTGGTTACGTACGCATTCAGTAGCAGAAGCATGTTTCGCTTTCAGCTTAAGAGCAGCATGGTGCTTAAGTTGATTTTAAAATCGTAAGTATTAAATACTCTAAGTTAATCCGTTATTTATTTAGGTGGGGATGATGAGAACGGTTTCGCACCGTCGTTCGTGGAGAAACCCCGAATCATTCCCAATGAAGATGGTACACTCATTACGATGCGTTGTGTCTGCAAAGCCAAGCCGGCGGCCGAAGTATCGTGGTACAGGGGTACGACGGTCATCAAGGCTAGTAGTAAAATTGAAATCAAATCTAGTAAAATTGAAGAAGATGTTTATGAACTGTTATTGCTTTTAACAAATCCGACGGCAGCGGATGGTGGCGCTTACCGCTGTCATGTCAAGAATGAATTTGGTGAAAGCAATGCTAATCTCAATTTGAACATCGAAGCCGAACCCGAACCGGAGGGAGAAGGCCCGACGTTTGTCGAGAAACCTACCATTCAGTCCAAGGACAACGGCAAATTAGTCATAATGGGATGCAAGGTCAAAGCTAGCCCGAGACCGACTATCGTGTGGTACCACGAGGGTAAAGAAATCAAGGAATCATCGAAAATTAAGACCAGGATTGAAGTACACGAAGACATTTACACAATTATCCTAGAACTTATCGATCCTGGCATCGAAGACTCCGGATTGTATAAATGCAATATCAAAAATGAACTTGGAGAGCTCAATGCGAATTTAACGCTCAATATTGAAAGTAAGTTACCAAATTTTTTACTTAAAATCGACTAAACGATATGAAAAATAGTGTTTTTATCGCGATAATAGTAGAAAATTGATTAGGTGGATATCACATTTTTAAAATTTGTTTCTCCAGCCAAATAAAACTAAGCTTAACTATAACACTGTAACAATTTGTATTTGCAGTCATTCCAGTTATCAAGGAAAAGCCAAAGATCATTAAGATAGTTAAGAAGAAGACTGTTATTGTTGAATGTAAAGTATTAAGTAAATTTGCACCTCAATGTACTTGGTTCAAAGAAGCCAGTGCTGTCAAGGAAGACTCTAGGCATACTGTGCTAATTGAACCTGTGAGAGAGGTGAGTATTCATTTCAATCGCATTAACGATTAATTGCGACTGTATAATTGTAGCTATTTAAAGTAATAATATATTACTCAATTGGTTAATTTAAAACACCTTCAGTTAAAATAAACATTTTAGTAGTTTAGTTTATTTCAGCTCACGATTAAAACTTCGATAATTGATGTTTTCAGGGTGAATTCGCAGTCAAATTGGAAATCTCAAACGTTTCACAAACCGACAAGGGTTCGTATAAACTCGTTGCTAAGAACGAGAAAGGTGAGGCCACATCGCAACAAGTTGAAATCACAGAGATTCCTGAGGAGAAAGGAGAAAAGCCTCACATCATCAAACACCTCAGGAGCTTGGTAACTATTAATGATATAAAATACCAAAATTAATATTGATTGTATTACTGTCTAACAAAGAAGTAGTTTTAAGTAGAACTGACAATAGAATGATTTTATAGGACTGTTACAATGGAAATACATGTATATTTTTTGACTTCGTCGCACCCGACGTAACTGCCCCTGGCATTGCTGACGTCCATGAGCGACGGTAACCACTCACTATCAGGTGGGCCGTATGCTCGTCTGCCTATACGGCAATAAAATAAATTAAATTAAAGACCCTAAATTGTAATGATTGTGTATACATATCGTCTTCGTTCATACTTCTATACAAAATATTATGTTTAAAGAAGATATATTTACTTTAGTGAGTGATCATAAAAAGAGACAAAAATAGTAGTAGTGACTTAAGTATTTTAATTGTTTTAACAGGCTAGAAAAGAAAACGAGGAAGCTGAATTTATCGCCGTCCTCAAAACATCAGATCAGTCATGTCGATGCACTTGGTACAAAAACTCCACCGTCATCAGAGATACATCTGAAGTGAACACATCTTTTGATGGTACCAACGCTAGACTCATCATTAGAAAGGTCTCTTCGAAATACGTTGCCAACTACAGAGTTGTGATTAAGAACGAATACGGCGAAGACGAATCTAGCGCAGATTTGACTATTGTTGATGAAAAGGTATTATTATAATTTATCAAAGATTAATGTACTGTAAATCATGACTATAAATCACTTCCTTCAAAACATTTTTTTATTTGTAAAAGATGCTTGGGTGGTCTGCCAGCTACCAAAAAAATATTTGGTAACTAGTTTAGGTCAAATAAAAAAATACGTAAATATGAAATATTACAGAAAAAGAAAAAGGAGGAGGAAGAAGAAGAAATCACTGTTATCGAAGAGTCTGAAGAAGAAATGTCGATCGTGGAAGAGAAATCAATAATTGAAGAAAACCACGTAGATGAAAAGAAAAAGGTTAGTAAAATAATAAGAATATTAAAATATTTAAAGAGAAAGAATTTAAGCTTCCTCATGGAGATGTATGGAAATGGTAGTGCAAGGTAGAAGGGGAAGAGGTCGACCGAAGAAGACATGGATGGAGTGTGTGAATGACGATATGAGAGAGAGAGGAGTGAGTGTTGAGATGACGGTTGATAGAAGAGAATGGAAGAGAAAAATTAGCTGTGTCGACCCCACCTAGTGGGACAAGGTGGAGAAAAAGAAGAAGAATTTAAGCTTCCTCATAAAATTTTAAGCTTGGTAGTGTTTGAATTACTTACATTTTGTATTTCAGAACGAAGAAATAAAAAAGAAAGAAGAAGAAAAAACGACAATTGAAGAAAAGAAAACAGCATCCAAAAAAGTGACTAAGAAAGGAGAAATCACAATAGAAAATAACCAAGAGGAAATGGAGATTGAATCTAAAAAGGCTGACTCTAAAGTTGAATCCAAGAAAATTGAGACCAAAAAGGAAGAAATAAGAAAAGCAGAATTAGAAGCCGAAGAGGCGAAAAAAATTATCGAAAAGAAAACAAACAAGACTGAGGAAGAGAAGAAAGCTCTACTTGAAAAACTTGAGAAAAAGAAGCCTGAACCTGAGCCTGAGAAGAAAATTGAAGGTATTCCTAAGCTGAAATCGGTGAAACCCAAGGAAGAACCTGTCGAAACCAAAAAGGAGGTATCTAAAAAATCCACAGAAGAAAAGAAAAAAGTGGTTAAAAAGAAGGTTGTTGCTAAAAAAGAGGAGGTAAGTAGTTTGTTTGTTTTAATGCTAATGTACAAAGCTTCCATGTCAATATAAACTGAACATCACGAATCTGTGTTCAATTGATATATTTAGAAAATTACATGTTGTACCTAATATTTTTAGAAACTATGTTGGTTAAGACCATGTCCTCATTTTAATTATCCCGAATAGTAAGTACCATATAACTCTAGTTTGTGTGTTGTGTTAAAATGTGCTAAAATAAACTTGGGTGTTAGGATGAAATCGAGTTCGTCGATGATTACGAGCGTCCAGTTCTGGAGAAATATGAAAAGATTACACCGACACCTCTTGCTAAAAAAGCAAAACAGGATGATACACCAAAGGTAAACACTACACAACAAACACTATACACATACCATTTATGAAAACCTCGAATTTTTTTAAATTTAATACCTACCTATTAAAATCGGCTTAGGGTAAACGTGCATCAGTTTCGGAAAGCGTTAAAAGTGATCAATTCAGTGAAGATGAACCTTCTATTGCTGAACCGACCCCTGAGAAAAAAACCAAGGTTGAATTTAACGATAAGGTATGAATAACGAAAACTTAAATTATTTATATTTCGATATAAATCCATTTAAAAATAAATATAAAAAAATAACGTCAAATTAGGTCGACGAAGACAAGGCTGAGCCTAGGAGATCAAGTATTAAAAAAGGCATTCCCAAACCAGAGGAGCCGGTAGATGAACTAACAAACATCAAATTATCAAAAAAACCATCTAAACCAATCGAGGAACCGCTTGAAGAACCACAAGTAGCTAAAACAAAAAAACCAGTCCGAAAGGTAATGATTAATTCGCTAGTCAAATCAGTTCGCTATTATTGAAAAATACAATCTTGTAACAATAAAACAAAATATTTATAGCCGGGTGACACTGACGAATTCATTGACGATTACGAACGGCCAGAGTTGGAGAAATACGATAAACTGACGCCAACTCCTTTAGATAAAACCAAAAAAGTGAACGGAGTTGATGAGGTAACGGAATCCAGTATAATGTTAATCAAATTGAAAATAACAATTAAAGTAGTCTGGAGTTTATTAGTAAATATTTGCAATTTAACGTGTAAATAATTGTAGGCTGATTCGAAATTCGTGGACGATTACGAAAAGCCCGAACTTGAGAAATACGAAAAAGTAGCACCAACACCCAAAGACAAACGTCGAACTAGTGATACACAGGTATATTCATTTATACAATTATTCATGCCTTAATAAATATTACAATGGAAAATTACTTTTTTGAAATAAAACTTTGCTCTAGGACGATGTGGATATGATGAAGGGTAAAATTAAACCAAAAGAGAAAGAAGAAGAACCGGAAATGCCTACACTACGCAAACGTCCTGTCCAAAAAGACAAGGTAGTGAATACAAAAATAAAATTCTTCAAGATTCCTATTCTTTAATTTCTTCAAAGTTCACTTTAGTAAAACTCTTTAATACGTAATTCCTCTATTTATTTCGAAATAACCATTTAAATTTTCTTTTTATCTGGAACTTGTACCCTTAAAAACATAATTAAATTGCACATTAGGAGCAAGAACCAAAACCAGAGGAGAAACCTAAAACAAAAACCATTAAAAAGGATGAACCGGAAACCAAAAAACGACCCTCACTCAAAAAGAAGGAGGTATACACACTCTACATATTCTTACACTTAACAGTTTGAGAGTACATAACAGTTTTAAAACTATCTCACATAACACAAAACGAATAATGACTTAATAATATTCGCACATTCTCGCGTATTTGAGGCACGCTGTTCCTAATTGCGCTGCTAAAAATTGTATTTTTCTATTTTGACCGCTCAACATTCAGAGTAAGTATTAATAAGAAATTTCGCTTATGATGATTGCACGAATGAGGCTGTAAAATGCTTAATTTCGTTTTTTGAAGTTGATGGTTAGTAAATCTTTGTGGTAAGTACTCTTGTGTTTGAAATGCTTAATGCAATTAATTAATTCTTCTGCAATGAAAATACAACAAAAAGTTGTCTGACCGAGAAATCGGTCTCTAATTTATTTACTCACAGTTTGATTTATTCACTCTGTAACCAAACTGTTAAATAACAAATCAAGTAATAAAGATAATTTAATTTTCTTCTATTCGAAATCTAGACCTACTTATTTTATACAGTGTGTAAAGACAACATTCTCTAAGCCGAAACGGTAATGAACTAAGCGTCTAAATTAAATAAAATACAATATTTAACTAAGCAGAACATAAATACTTGTTGTTCCAGTAGGTTCAAATTTTTTTGAACCAAAAAACAAAGACACCTGAAAGCTGACCGCCATTTTGTCTCAAGGCGATTCCCGCGCATTTGTTGATTTTTAACCATCTACGTTCAATTAGACTATATCTAGAACACCAGTTCCACCTGTCTTCGCTTTAGGGACCACTTTACACCCTGTATACTCAGAATAACATACATGATTTGTTTATTTTTATCAACCGAATCTGTAAACTACAAATCACGCAAACACTCAAACATTTCAAAGGTTGTCGAGGAAGAGTTTGTCGACGATTACGAAAGACCAGTCCTCGAGAAATACGAGAAAATCACACCCACACCACTCGAGAAAAAGAAAAAGGTACACTGAACTACATCACGTAATTTATATACATATATATTTTTATGCTTGACACTAATTGACGCTTATATAGCCATATTACGTATAGATTAAATTTAACCATTTCTGTGAATTATACTATCATGAATTGGGTAAACAGTTTCACTGTTTAAGATAGACTTTTTTGAAAATGATTTGAATTTATAAACTTTTGTAGAAGAGCGGTGGTAGATTGAGCAAAGCTTCTTGCTAGGGCTATTTAATTGTTAGCAGTTCTCTCAGGTTGAGCCCATGATCTCACGTACACGTTTGCGCCGGTTAGGTAGGAAATAAAAACTTGGGAGAAATAATCTAAACTATTTAATTTTTCTTTCGTCGCTCTAAATCAAAACGTGTTAAAACACGTTGCACTCAAACAACTCAAATTCATCAGGAGGACAAGAAACTAGAAGAAGAAACACAGTCCACCACGGCAACTAGGCGACGTTCTGTCAAAGACAAAGAGAGTGCTAAACCAGAGGTATCAATATAATTTCATTACTATGAAGAGGTTCATCTCACATTAAATACATAAGAAAATGCGTTCGAGCCAGAAATTAAACATTAATTTAATTATCAACATAGGTATTACGGTTAGAGTAGAAGTTAGAAGGAGAATTAAAAACAATATGTACATTTAATAACATCTTATAAGATTACTAGTTTATCGTAATCAGTAATTTCTTAGCCATTTTACTGTATCGAGACGTATTCGTTTGCACTTAAAGAATACATTCTTATTAGGAGGACAAAAAACCAGATGAAGAAACGCCTTCCGCAACAGCGACTAGGCGGCGATCTGTCAAAGACAAAGACAATGACAAACCAGAGGTATCAATACAATCTAATTATAACTAAGAAAAGGTTAATCTCATAGTTAATAGATAATAATAGTCAATGGATCCATTAATGAAGAGATTTATTTATTTATCGATACACTTTGTAGAGTAAGAGTATATTAAAAAAAAACACAGTAGGCACTTCTGAGTTATTTGGACATTATCAACTATTAATCGTCATCAGAAAATTATTTATTTTGCATTTATTATCTATGTCAAATGCCTTTTATAGCCTATGGATGTTGATGAAAACTTCAGCATTACCAAACCTAAGACTCCGGCTAAGCCTGGACAAGAACCTGAAACATCACTTACACACAAAACACCGGCTGAAATTAAGCCTACGGTCTGTACAGATAACTATTTATTTATGTTTTTAATTATAAAGCATATACTTATAGTTTTCACTAAGCTTTAAAAACTGCGCATCATTGCTTATGTTGTTATATATTAATGAAGTAATAAAAAAAACTTTAGGAAGACGAGGCTGAAGCCAAACTCCACGTTAAGAAACCAGAGATCATTGAAGAAAAAACACTTAAGAGACCTTCACCTAAAGATAAAGAACCTAAGGTACACTATTTCACATGATTTAACCCAAAATATTTTAAATGAATTTCAAGGAAATAAAACTCTTTCTAACCTTACTTTACATGGATACAATATTACTTAATTTTTATTTCACTGAACAAGAAAGAACAATAACTGTGTCCTATTCTAAACCAGAAAATACCATTCGCACTACTACTATATATACTACTATACTATACTTGAGTCTAAGTGTTCATCTTTAGCCGAATGAATTTATCTATATATTTCTTCTCTTTCTCTCTCTCTAAAAATTAGCGTATTATATCAAATGATTGACAATTTGTGATATAATATAATCTTTCTTTAAACTTGGGATCGTGACCTCTACAAAATTTTAACACTTATTCTGGGATGTTAGGGAGACGACACAGAGGAGGCTGTCAGTCTCAGCAAACCGCGCAAAAAGACAAGCACGACTGCTCCCGAAGAGGCGCAGCTCACACAAAAGACTCCTGCTAAGAAAAAACTAACGGTACTTAATATGCACTCAACTATATGCTTATAATTTCAAACTTGTTGTACGAAACTGAAGCAATCGTGAACGGTTTGACGCTGTTAAAAATTATGAATACAATTGGCTTAAGCGCTATGTTCAAATTTCTTAGGAGGGTGCTGAAGCAGCAACGTTAAAGGTCAAAAAACCTGCTGTTGTCAAGAAAGATGACGACCAAGAGGTAGCGAGTGATAAAATGCTTTGCTACTCCACAGCAGTGGTCTTAAAAGTTTTAATCGTAACTTTAGATGTTGTAGATGCAAAAGCACAAAATAAGGAGTTGTATCATGTCACTAAAATAAAGAATTTCGGTAGATTAGAATAAATGCATGTTTTAAAAATATCAGAACTGATTCGTGAAGCAAACGTAGTCTAATTATAGTTAAGTAACGGCTTAAAATGCATTATCTAACCATGCTCACAAATTTAATGCTTTGGTTGATTCTTAGGAGATACCGAAGGTACAAGGTGGTAAATTCGAAATGCCACAACTTAAGAAAACGGTCAAGAAGAAAACAGATGAGCCTAAAAAAGCTACTGTTGATGGCAAACTCAATTCTGATGGGGTAAACATTGTTTACGGTATTGTGGTGTAGCTTCGTGGCGTCCCTATCTCTTTTCAAAACTTCCTTCCAAATGTACAAATTTCTATACTATACACACAAAATATCCACATATCGAAACAGACAAATGTAAAATTGGAATACTGAAACTCATTTATAGTGAATTTTATGAATAAATATACCCATCGGCATTTTATGCTATTTTTAATAAATACTTTTCCAAGACTTGTACATTTGCAATCAGAACACTGTGTAAAATATTTTCTGCGTTCATCCTTTCGTGGGGGTTCTTTTTATGTTCTTCAGTATCTGTGTCAGTTGTCCTAAAATGTTTTGCCACGAGTCGCATGTTGCATGTTTATATGTGCTTTATATGTTTCTTTTATTTTAAATTTGAAAGGCTAGCAGTTGGACGTCCCTACATAGTACACACTATGAGGTATCCAGACACATTAATATTACGCCAAAGGTGAAATTGGCATCTTTCTCAAGGTATTAAAACAGAATTTAGTCTGAGTTATTTATCAGTAAATCCTCTCGTTTACCTACGTCCAACTACAAGATTAACTAAAATATTAATCTCACGATAAATTACCTTTTTAATTTTATTATTTTTCTCACGCAATGCTTTAAACATCAACAGTATGAGCTTGACTTTGTGGATGACTATGAGAGACCTGTACTGGAGAAATATGAAAAGATTAGCCCGACACCAATTGTCAGGGAGAAGAAAGAAAAAGAAACCAAGGTAAGAAAAAGAAAAAAAGGCGAAAATATTTCCGTGACAACGATACTTTTCAAAATTTTGGATTCTAGTGAGATAGCTATTTAAATACAGAAGTTGATAAAAAAGGGAATATTAAAGAGGATTTAAATGAAACAGGTGGCAATGTCTGCACAACAAGCACAGCATCTTGAAGTAAAGGTAGAATTTGTCCCCTAAACTCGATAGGCATGCCAAATTATAATTTTAAAGCATTCAAGACCTTATTCCAAAATCTGGTACTTAAAATGGAATATGATATTGAATATTAAACATTTTTCCATCTTGTGAATACCATTGTCCTTATGTGAAATCCATTGTAAATTTTCCACTGTTTGTGAATTACTTTCGTTTAAATTGCTGTGTTAATAAATCTGTGTTTTGTTTTCTTTAGACTGAAAGCAGAAGAACTTCGATTCAAAGCGAGGTTAGTATTATTATTCCCCTTACTTTTTTTTGTTTAGTGTTATTTCCTAAGTGCTTGTAAATAAATTAATCAATAAAACATATTTTTACTGTAAGAAGCTTTTAAACTATCATGACTTAATCAGCCATTGGGAACGCACTTTCGCCACGAGAATAATGGACAAGATACCTTAGTTCCACATATATATGTAAAACAGAAACACAAAAATCCGTAACTTCATTAACAAGATAATTATGTTGCTATAAAATAAACCAATGAATTACAGCAGGCCTAATTAATATGTCAGAGATGCCTCATCGCGTTAACTTTAAGCTTCATATGAGATTAGTGTTCTGGAATTTGTGATATTTCATTTAACATTTTTTTTTATATTCAAAGGTTAAGGAAGAAACAAAATCAGAAAGTCGCAGAAGTTCTATCATCGAAAACAAAGCTGTTAAGGTAATGTATGATCTATTAGCAACATGAGCATTACTAGTGGTCGTTGGATAATGGCAAAGTACATAATATTTCAATATTACCAGATTATCATCATCATCTAGGTACCTTGACTACATAAAGAAAAAATACTCGAAACAAATACATAATAAATCTTAAATGTTAGACGTGTTACGATTGTGTCGTATTTCAATGCTATATTGCTAGAAATTAATAAGAAAATTTACCGCAATTTCATCGCCTTTTGAGTAAATACCTCACGACCTATCATCATAAGAAATAAAAGACCCTATTAATATATTATTTAGTATGGTAATTCATCAATAACTTCTCAGCTCACAAAAGAAACTGCCGAATCTAGAAAATCTTCTATTTCTTCTGTGGCTGAACAACAAGAAGTTTCTACACTGAAAAAATCTTCAGCGCAAAGGGTATGTGCTATTGTATTATGTATTGCGATATTAGTAAAAACGATTATAGTTAAATCGTTAGTTAGTAATTTGACTTCGTAATGCTTGATCATAGGTATTATTAAAAGCGTCTTAAAAGTAGCGTGTGAATTTTAATTTAGACATCCCGTAAAATAACAGAGTTGGAAATTTCCCTTTTCAAATAGATCTCCATTTTAGTAGCTGTTATTAAACTCCTTAATAAAAATTTGGATATTTTATCTCCATTAGAGTGATTCAATAAATAAATTATTTAAATTTGTTGCAAATTTTATTTGTAAGTTCAATTTTCAGTTATTTTTACTGTATTGATTGTTACTGTACTGTGTTCACGGTATTGAGAAAAAACATCCAATTTGCAGCAAATTTAAATTAGATCCCAATGTAGAAGAAGGCGACGCATCCCATGACGCTTATTTATATTTCCTATTAACTTGCAATTTTTAGACGAGCATTAAAGCAGCAGAAGCCAGTGAAGTGGAGCAAATAAAACTAAAAGTAAGTTGGAAAAATAACCGATAATGCATGTCTAAGGCCTCATGAAACCATACGAGGTCAACGTACTGTATATGTCAATTTTGTTTGTAAAGCTCCGTAATAATTTTCTTATCATAAAAAAAACAAACCTGTTTGTTAAGTAATGTTTTCTAATAGATATTCAGTGAATAACTCTGTGTTTAACAAATGAACACTCACGATAAGAATAGAAGAAGAAAGAAAAACGTTTTAGAATTTACATGTTAGCATTATTTTTTTTGTATCTAGGATGACGTTACAATGAGAGTTGAAGAAAAGACAGAATCTGATGATAAACCTACAGATAAAACATATCCATGGCGACGCACAAAAACAGACACACAGGTATATACACTTATACATTTACACTCAAACTTATATTACATAATTCAGATAGTACATAACACTTTACACTATTCATTGCTAGGAACCGAAAGAAGGTATTGAACCGAAACGTAAAGAGAGCTTAGAGAGTCAAGAGCAAGTCCCGAAACGCCGACAAAGTAAAACGGAGGTAAATTTTAAGCTAGGCCACATTTATTGTGCAGTTCATCTAATGTGATAGATAGTATTAAATGCTTTTGTTATGTAGGAAAACGAAACAGTTGAAGAAGTCGAAAAGCCTAAGCCAAAACGAAAATTATCCACGCAACGTGTGCGTCCCAAAAATTGTTCAAAGAAAGCAAACGAGGTAGAACTTTTTACACATAGAAAGCTTAATATTAAATTCAACATAGACTATGTAATTATTATTCTACTTTTGAAATAGGAAAACGAGAGTATTGAGGAGATAGAAGTCATAGAGAAAACTACTAAGCCAGAGGAGTTAATTGACAAACAGACAGATACAAAACCTAAACGTAAACCTAGTGCAACCGATGAGGTATATCCTAGTTTAACAGTCTTATTTAATTTAACAGTCAATATTTTTTTTATCAATGGATCAAAACATAATTAATTCATAACTTTTTGTCAGAACAAAGAAAATATACCAGAAAACAAACTAACTGAAAAAACAGATGTAAAACGTCAAGTTTCTATTGATGAACCGTTAGAAACTGCTTCCTCTTCACGTTTACCGAGTCAAGTTGCTGAGGTATAGACGAATTACGAATAGTATTTTATTAAACTTTTAAGTTAAAAGCCATTGACTACATATTAATGATTTAACAGGATGGCGATGATAAGATAGTTGAACATAAGCAATCAAAAAGGCGTGTTTCAGTAGATAGACCGACAGAGCCAACCTATCCTTGGCGTCGACCCAGTAGGGCTGATGAGGTATTTTAGATAATATCATAAAATCAGTAATTAATTAATTGACATATAGTTTTGTTTAATATGAAATGTCCAATTTAACAGGATTACGAGATGATAGATATTAGTAATCGACAAGAACCAAAGACTCCTATTGAATCTAATGATTTCCAAACACCTTCAGATGAGCTCATTAAAACTGAGGTACTGTTTAAATTTTTCGATTCACTTGCTAATAATAAATTAATTGAAATTCGGATACAATAGTAAACAATTTAAAAAAAAGGCTAATTGAATAACTTATCAAGATATGAAAATTAATAATAAGAATAGTCTATGATAAGAGATTAATTTTATTATGATATTTGTATAGGAAGAGAAAAACAGACCCGAATTATCTGAAAAACCGAAAGATGAAATAAAAGAGTCGATTGAACAACCTAAATATCCTTGGCAACGACCCAAAAAAGCTGTCGAGGTAGTACTCATTTCAATTAAAAAATTATTAGGGGTTTTAAAAAAGGATTATAACTTTTATTCTGTAAAAATAGGTAAAGAAAGAAACAGAGGCTACTGATAAATCAAACGACGAAAAGAAATCGCCAAATCAGCCAAAGTACCCGTGGCAAAAGCCCAAGAAAGTTGACGAGGTAGGACATGAGTCGTTATTAATCGGGTAATTCGAAATAGTTCTCATTAATAAGTCAATCTTAGATCATGTACGTCACGTCGCACGGAAATGGACATGAAATTATTTCAAATTGTTAATTCTTCCTAAGAAACAGTAATTTTAGCATTAGCTACATTACTACTGGGCACACAACCGAAAAAAACATTGCCATTACTAAGCTACATCATTTACACTACATACACATAATTTTATTACATAAATACGTAGCAAAATTATGCTTAAATCAAATACGTTTATATTATAACTAACTAATTAAAATTAACTTTAGGAGCCGGAAGCTACTAAACAAGTACCACAAACAAAAACAGACGTCACAGAAAATACGAAGGTATTTTATTTTCAATATACTTCTTCGATTTAGCGAATAATCAATACACAAACACACTAATCCCTAATTTTATTAGGAGCAAAACGGCACACTCAAAACAGACAAAGACAAACACTTGAAACCTTCACAATTACCATTCTACATGAGACGAAAGTCACAAACAGAGGTAGTAAATATACACACTATTATTCACTTTCACAAAAATGTATACACTGCACTGTACTGTACTGCACACATTTCACTTTTGCACAATCATCTTCTTTACGATGTTACAATATTCATGAATACTTCTTTAATTGTCTTGGTATTTTTAGTATCAATCTATTAATAGGTAAATTGTGTTATAGGAAACTGAGGCACCTTTCCTTAAAAAAATTGAACCTAAAAAGGAAGGTTTAGATGACCAGAAGGTAAATCGTATTTAATGCTTAATTTTAGATTAATATTAAGTATGCATAAATTAACTTTTAAATTATATCCATTTTTCTAGCCTCAAGTGGATAATGATAAAATTCCCGAGAAAATACAAGTAGAATTAGGTTCTACAGATATAAAGGTAAACACAAGTATTCCATGTAATTAAGTGGCTCGAATAGAAAATAACAAACGAAAAATTCATTATGTAATTCAAATTTAATAGGAACCTGACACTCAATACAAAACTGACACTGTACAAGACAGACAATCACCATATCCGTGGAGGAAACAACACACAGAGGTAACATCTACACACTTCTTAATACACACAAACACACGCATTTATCCTCTTTTTCTGAAATAATTTAAAATCGATTTCATTGATATTTCAAAGACAATTGTCATACAAATTTAGGAACCAACACTTGCTCCTCCGGAGCCACAAACGAAAAAGGACGTTCCAGAAGTAACATTCTCTTGGCAAGTCATCCCCGAAATACCCCAGGTAGTCCTTGTCAATTAAGTTTTGAAATACATCGAGTCCAAAATCAAGTTACGTAGTTCTAATACATGCATAATTTTGATTAGGCCGAACAAGCACCGGAATTAGAGGATAAAATTAAACCTAAACTAGTCGATACACCAGAAATCACAGCGCCATGGAGAAGACCACGTTCGCCACAGGTACACTCACAATATGCACCCCGCAAATACATATAACACATACAAACATACATACATGCACAAATTTTATGTTTCTCAACTCTCACATAATCTGCAGAAGCAAAAGAAATGCATGGTTTATCGTCTTATTGTAGTAATAAGGAATGTGATTTTTCTCAACACGAAGCGCGCCTGTACGATCGTCAATAATTAAATTTCTCTGTAGGGTGATACTACAGATGGAAAAGACGAACCTAAGCCAGCTACATTAGGAATACCACAGCCTGCTTTTATCAGTCCCGAAACACCTAAAGAGGTATACACGTTGGCACAAAGAATAGCATCGTAGGCACTATAGAATTGCACTTGTGAACTCCACTGCGGGATTTTTCTAGCACTCGCACTATTTGCACTAGCACTATTTTCTTCGGATATATTTTATTGGGTTGTAGACACTGTAGATTTGCACTTATGAACTCTGCTTCGGGATTATTTTTAGCACTCGCACAATTTACACCGGCACTTTACGGATTTATTTCACTGGATTGTATATCGTTTGATAGTTTTCAATGTGTTGTGTTTTAGAATTGGTCATATATTTTTTGTATCTTTTACTCTATAATTATTTGCACATCATGTTGGGTTGTATAGCACACAAAATCAATTAAAAAGCACGAATTGAATGTCTTGCTTAGTACTGCTATCTTTGTTTATCTTTTTCCGTGTCCTTGTTTTATTAGTTTATACTTACGCTTATACAATTACGGAATTCATTAATTTTTGTACAGCTTAAAAAATATTTGTCAAGATATGTTTATAACACTTTCAGAGATATCGGTAAGTATCGAATGTTCTTGGGGGTTTTATTTTTATATTATATGGAAATGTAAAAGGTAGTAGATAAGAAATTTATTAAATAAAGCAAACTTATTATTTAATCTGATAAATCGATGTATTAAAGTATGTACAAATACAGTTTACAGGTTTTCGGATAGCATTTCTGGAGTTGAACGTGAATATATCCATGTTTACGTATCCAAACAAAACAAATTTCTCAAGCTAATTTTAATTACAGAAAGTGGCTGTAAAAGAAGAAAAAATCGAGGAAGAAGCAAAGAAGGCTAAGTTGTCATCTGTCAAAAAGAAGGCCGAAGAACTTCCCGAAATTCCAGATTACGAGAGACCTGATCTTGAACAATACGAAAAAATTTCGCCGACACCAACTACAAGAGACAAACCGGACAAAGATAAGGTAGGCATAAGATTGTGAAGCGAATGCAATTTGCCCTAGAAAAACAGCTCGAAAATAAATTAAAACATTTTTTACGTCCAGCCGGTTCCTCAGGTACCTGAAATAAAGGCACCTGAAGAGAAGCCAGCTGCACCCAAAATTGAGGTTATCCGTGAGAAATCGCCGAAACCAGAAATGCCCAGGAAACCGTCATTGGTGCCGGGCGCCCCAGTGGGTAGACGTGGTTCCCTAATTCCTCCACCCGAGGAAATGGGAAGACGTCCTTCTCTCATTATAAGCGACGAGGTATGTATACTCCTAACAGGCGCAATATTAAAGATAAGAGGCACTTCATTTTTAAGATTAATTCATCAAAAATATATGGTATAGTCTATAATGGAGGTATGAAAATCAATATATTTTTTAAATTTTTAATTGTGCCGTCTACCTTGTAGTTTTAGACACAGTATTACACACCCACAGTACGCATTTAAAATCACTCTTTTAATTGATGAAAATCTGCTTAAAGTATATCTAATATTAATTGAAATGTTATTAAAACTCTAAGATTTATAAAGTTTTGTTCAAATTGGATGTAATTTAGTAGATGAGTGATTCAAAATGCAATTTTACACACCACAAATCTTTTAATCTGTAGTGTAGTCCCTATTCTCTAAAGCCGAACCCATAACATAGATATTCCTAGACCCATGATAAAATGCATAATCATCTATATAAAGGTGCTTCGGATTATATTCTATAGAGTGTACCTCAAATGCTTCCGTAGTGACAACTGAAAGTTGGATTGAAGCTTGAGTCCTTAAACCCCGCTTTTAGATTAGCGTTTACACCAAAATCTAAAACAATGGTAATAAATAGAAATTTAGAGATATTAAGATCGTGCAAAACGTAATCCACAGGAGAATAGAAAACTAAGACCTGGTGAGGTGATTGAAGAGAAGAAGGTAAAAGCAAAAATGATTAGGATATTACGTGAATGTTAAATTGCCGTGAAATACATTTAACTGTATCTGTTAAAGAAATTAATGCATTTGCATCCGACGCGAGAACACTGTGTTTGGCACCGTCTGGATAATTTCATATGCCGATTTGAAAACATTTATCATCTTATAAGATTCAAATGGCAGCTATGCAATTATCCAGAATTTAAAATAAACGAACGTTCTGTCGTCAACAGCACAATGCTAAATTGCACACACTTGTGAAGTATCCGCACACAGATAAACCGCACAGCTTGTCAGCACGATACGCACACCAAATAACGGGCACAACGATTGGTTACATCAAATCTTTATGGATTTGGATCTTTATGGCAGGAATGGTGTGTTAAAGAAGGCTTCTCTTACACATCACGAAATTAAAATAGGACACTAACATCAACGATTAACATGGAGATTATGCAATACATAACGTAATAACTATCGCACATGCTGGCTAGGTTTTATAATACAACCTTATAATCCGAAAGTTAGGTAGTTAGGAAATGGTTCGGCAGCGGAGATGTAGGTGCAAAAAAATGTATCAAATTTTATGAAANTAAAGAAGGCTTCTCTTACACATCACGAAATTAAAATAGGACACTAACATCAACGATTAACATGGAGATTATGCAATACATAACGTAATAACTATCGCACATGCTGGCTAGGTTTTATAATACAACCTTATAATCCGAAAGTTAGGTAGTTAGGAAATGGTTCGGCAGCGGAGATGTAGGTGCAAAAAAATGTATCAAACTTTATGAAACCGGGTCATTATCGATGTTTTTTAACAACAGGTCACCAAATTGCGTCCTGGAGAAGTTATAGACGACAAAAAGGTGAGATCGATTGGGTCTGGTCACATTTAGGTGGACGTTGCTCGCTTATGCCAAAGCATTTTATCTTTTGTTTTATCTTTATTATATTATTATGTTACACAGAAACATACAATTATACACGACTAAGATAAGACCACAATGTACATTACAAAACCCAATTACACTTTCAAAGAGTATCTGTACACATTTCAAAAGACATAAAGAAGATACTGATCAAAGAGAAATAAAAAAACTCCTTAATATTAATTAGTCTTCTCTTCTAGTAAATTTACTTAATCATTACCTAAATGTCTACTATTCTTTCTACTCTTGTACCTTTTGTTAGATGTTCTTTAGATGTTCATTTCCGCTTTGCCGACCAGCATTTAAGATGTAGTACAAAGTCGCTGGAAATTTTCCCAGTCCATGTGAAAACCGAAACAATTTAATACAGAGCTGTCAGGTCTAAGTTCCCTTTCGGCGTTAGTGATCTTCAACGGTATTCACATAGACAGTGCTTTTAGTTTCAAATAGAATGGCTTTAGTTTTACGTTTCCGTTTTCTGATCTTGGTTGTAAAAAAATGTTAGCTTACATATTTACTATTTACACTGCCCTTCTCTTCCTGCTGCCAGTATTACATGCACGAGAACATTTGGCCGGCACTAATAAACTCAACCAGACGATTAACATAAATTTTGTTTGTTCAACATTAATTTGGATTCCGTTAAATTTACATTGAAATTCTATTTGTATATATAATTTTCGTTTTCTATATTGGCACTTTTGAACTAATCGACATACGCTAAAATAATGAACGGTTTAAATAAACGCTGACAGGTACAAATCAACAACATACAATAACACATTGACACATCACAGAACACACATTTTAATATAACTTTATAATGTACAGGAATTATCACGATATGCACAATTAAATTAACAGAGAATGTACTTACTAAACCTTTTTATTTTTTTTCTTACAAAAGAAACGCGGCAGGCCGGGTGAAGTCACAGACGAGGTATCTAATGTGTGGAAAATATATGTTTAGATGATTTTTTTTATATGTCATAGATAAAAGTATACGTTAATAACGTGGCTAACATAGAATTTTCAAGTGTTAATTTTATACGTTATTACAAGTATTCAGTGTTCAACTGAATAATAAAAGGCCTATATATGTAGAGATTATTTGTACGGTAGCTATATATATGTTTATTTAAATGTCGATTTTCGTAATTAAATTTGTATTAGAATATTACAGATAGTGCTACTAATACCTGAACAATAAAATAATCATAAACGAGCCAAATTAAAAAAAAAAATGTTAGCATCCAAATAAAACCATACTTAAAATTGCATGCCATTTTTTTAATAATAGTAACGGTATATTCGCAATCAACAATTTTGAGGTAGATAATATATTGAAAAATGCAATGCAACTTTAAATAACAACACAGTTGAATATGAAAAATCGTCATCAAAAAGTTCATTGCGAATATATAGAAATTCCAAAGCACTAACGACACGAAGCTTTAGCACCGGTTTTGAAATAATGATCATTACGTTATGTAATGTCAGTTGTTTTATAGTATTAATAAATCCCAAAGAGATGCCACAAAATGTGAAGTATTATGAAAATACGTTGAAAATTCTAAATAAGGAATCCCCGTCAAAATTGTCGCGACAAATAAAAGAACCACTGATAAAATCTATCACTAAATAAACGTTTTCATTGTTAATCTATTAAAATCATCAGTAATATAAATTCGAAGCAACAAAAACACCTGAATTACATATAAACCAAAAGAGAACCTAAAATTGTTAACTGACGATTTAATTTGTAAAACTTTAGAATCATCCAAAAGTACCAAACGGCTGTAGCAAACAACTATATTAGTTTGTGTCACACTGAGCGTCTCCTATCTGGAGACAACATAAATATTAAATGTCATATAAATAATAATGTGTGCCGAGATAGTACACCTGTTCGATAACTTTCGGAAAGGTGACGCAGGCACGTTAGAGGAAGCATGACAATCGAAAGGTTCAGACGAGCCAGAGTTTCATTGTATGATTGATGCTTAACTTATATATATTGGTCTAGAAATTATGCCAAGTAATCTTGAAAACTCACCTCTAAACTGATGATAGTTATTGCCAACGTCGATGACACGTGGGCGGAGCGTTTCAACGTGTTGGAATTCTCTAAAGCTACGGCTGTGAAAATATATATTTAATTTGTATGTCACACTTAAGAAATATTTTGAGGTTTTCCTAAAAATTATAGGGACGTTTTGATATAAGACGTCAACGTGTTAAGATTTAATAAAAAATTTAAACATTACTAACAGCTATAGAGCTTTATATTAATAATCTTATGTATTTCTGACTCAAAATCCAAGCGGATGTCTCAGACAATTTAAGATTCTACGTATAAATTCGCCACACCGTTAGCGAAGCGGTAACCGCCGTTTTACGAATTTCTATATTTAATCTTTTAAAATGTACTCATTTTCTAAAGCATGTCATCATAAAATGAAACTACAAAAGATCGTCGCATATAATAAAAGTCTTATAAATTAAAAGAAATGGATGTAATAAAGTTTACATTAAAGAAAACGAACAAGATAACGTAATAATGAAGGGAAAAAAACGAAAGTTCCTTCGATAATAAAACCCTGAATAACAAGAATGACGGAATTAAATACGATATAAATAAAATGAAATTCCGAATAGAAATAGATTCTAGATTGGCTATGATTGACATAACGAAGACATTGAGGATAGTACAAATACCTAAAGACCGCGTGGGAAGGCACGCAGCCGGCACACTTGTGAAGTGGTGGCAGATAATAGAAATCTAAATAAAAACAAACCTGGCGATTAACACCGTTGGCAACAAGATCCTTAACTGAATTCTGAAAGGTTTTCAATTACCAAATTCAGAGATTAAATGTGACTATAAGCCCGAGATAACGTAAACAGAGCAGTTAAATCGTGGTTGCTTGTAATTTTCATTCTGTTCTGGTTGTGGGTAGCGAAATAACTGCTATGTCAATGGTTGGTCTGTAAAATCATCGGTTCGTGAGCAATGACGCTATTCAAGACATTGCAGACGTTGCCAACGATGACAATCATCAAATTAATGTGCATCTCCATCGCGATGCCCATCAATCTCTTAGTCTCCTTGCACGATCCCTCAATTGTCTATAATTTATTAATGTAGACAAACGCTTGACCATATCTTTGGCTACGATACAGTGATTGATGTTGATGTTAATAATCTAACTCGAAGATAGATCGATCAACACGGTCTTAATAATGCGACAAGGCGAATGTTTCTTGAATCAAACTCAATGAAGATATATAAGAGATTTCTAAAGTAACGTATAATGTTGATTTTGGAAATTCGACTCTATGTGCACACATCTAAATTGATGTTAGAACTTCAAAACCATTGATGGTGAACAGCAGATTATATCCCACGACAGGTTTAGACGCCGTTCTAGATGCAACGGGGATCGCTCACCTTAATCTGATAATTAATTGAAACGGTCTGCTGTGCGCAAATAGAAATACACACTCCCCTCTCCCCTCCATGGCTAAGCGACCATGTCTGCACGACCCCATCTTCAGTCTTTTGACATTCGCGCCCATTTTAGAGGGATCGATAGTAACGAATGATACAAAATCGAAACACATATAACGAATAATTTTAAAATTTCGAAACATTTTTAATAGTTACAAATAATAATTGAATTGAATATTTAATAAGGTTTATAAAATGGAAGATCCTGATCGTTTTTGAAATAGTTTTTGGGTTTACAAAATGACCTTCGTGCGACATAAAAAAACGTCTGTGACAGTAGAATGTTGTTGATGATTCTTTAATTTTTAATTTATTAAAAGAAGTGATAATAATTCTTCAACAATTTTGTGGCATCTTGTTTATGAGTAAACCATAACTATGGCTGCGGTTGCTAGAAAATCTGTTGTTAGCTTACCCACACCGAAATCTGACACGGTAAGTACAATTTCCAATATCAATAACATATGTTTGTTAATGACTGGATGAAAATGTGTTTTTTTTATTTATTGCACTTGATGGATAGACAAATTGAGGGTTCACGCCCGTGTGTCCAGCCATGCTCGGCCTAGGTTGTGTTAAGTGGTTACTGGAATCTTCATCACGACGTAAATGCTGCCGCCGTCTCATCCCTATGAGGTTGAAATCTCAATTTTATTGTATAATCTATTCCGTCAATCCCGCCTTTTGAATCAGAATCATGATTTTGCGGCAAAAATTGGCGAGATGGCGAGATGATACCCACTAGTGGTAACTTACAATACGCTTTACTCTCAGTTATTACGCAAATCAAAAAAATGCGAATTTTGAGTTTTAAAAATTTTACATTATTTTATCAAAGGTCATTCATTCACTTTATTTGAAGTAAACGTAATCAATTATTAATAAAAAGCTCGGAATTGAGCTTCGTTTTTTTGAAGTAGGTTAAACGCTTGGAAAAGGATTTTTTAACAAAATAACTTTTCCGCATATCTTTTATCCCACTATACGTTTGCAACTATACTTTTTTATTGAACAAGAAAACATTTAAACCGTGCCCTTGAATAAATATTAGCATATAGTATCCAAACTTGTAACTTTAACAACACAACTGTCAATATAAAAATAACTCTAATTTAAGGTCTACAATTGATGCGCACCCCACATTACAATTTAATTGCAACTACATGCAATGCAAATTTGCGTTGTAAATATAGATTTAAAACACCACATTTGAATATCCGTAATCTGTAATATGTACAAGCAAATAAATAAAAAACTATAATAACGTTTGCAAAATATCTAAAAACATAATTAGACCAAGCAGCCTACTCAAATTCACATCAACAGTAAAATATTACTATCTCCATTCCTTGTGGACGTCAACGATAAAACACTTGCGCCACATTTGTCAGGAACTCCAAATCTTCAATGTAGGACCGTTGGCGAACATTCTCATAAATATGCATCTGTCATAATTCAACAGTGTATCGTCTCCTTGCACAACCGCAGCTCATATTATGTCCGTTTAGTTTATTTTAAACAATGACCTTTGATAATAAATTTTCTTTTGTTTCACTTCTATCAAAATTATCACAACTTATTCTAAATTTTGCACATTTTTTTAGCTTTACTGTCATTTATTAAATAGTAGTTAACCATTGTCATGTTCGATTTACACAAAATCTTTCGACAGACGGGCAGTCTTTTGTTTTTATTACCATTTATAATAACATGACGAATTGACGGTAATCATGATGATACAGCGGCGAAAGTCCGGAGATGCAAGAAGGCCTTCACTACAAGAGCTGGAGGACCTGATTAACAAGCCTTCAATACCATTGAAGCCTATCGGAAATGGAGGTCCGCCAGCCATTGTTATGGTAGAAGAAAATTACTCTGCTATTGAAGGTTAACTTTTAAATATTTTCTATTGAATATAAAATAAATTCCATCAATTGAGTCATTAGGTTGAAATCGTGTCAATTTCGATCTAATGTGCAATTTTGGTCTGTGATCACCAAACCATTCAGGATAATCTATTGCAACAGATCCCCGATAATTACTTTAACAAATTTGCTAGTATCTAGTTATGTATTTTTGTATTAGATAAAGGCGAAACGTAAAAAACAATTTTCACAGATCAAACTGGCTACATTACCATACAAGTCGAAGGCAACCCGGCGCCAACGTTCAAGTTCTACAAGGGAGTATCTGAAATCATCGAGGGAGGACGTTTCAAGTTTGTTACGGACGGTGAAACCGGTCTTATTACTTTGTGCATAAGGAAAGTGAAGCCCCACGATGAAGGAAAATACAAAGCTGTCGTCAGCAACATCCATGGCGAGGATAGTGCTGAGATGCAATTTTATGTATCTGGTAAGTTTACGTGTAAATTTAAACTTACAACTGTTTAAGTGTCTCAAATAAAATTTAGATTAGGTCTTTTTCGAGTTTTGGACTATTACTAAGGATTATTAAAAATGAAATTTCATTGAAAAAGTGCATTACATTTATTTATATATTTAGATGCCAGTGGTATGGACTTCCGAGCCATGCTTAAAAGAAGAAAGTATGCTAAATGGGGAGAAAAGAAAGAAGATCCAGATTGGGGAGATCTCAAAGAAACTGAGAAACCTATCCCCCCCCTCAAAAAAGTGGAAAAGGTAGGTAATCTAACTGAATTAGGATGACTTGAAAATAAGCTATAAAATATGTGGAAGCTGGTGATATAAATACTACTAAAATTATAAAAAAATATTATAAACGAAAACAAGTGAAATATGTGAACATTACAAAAGTTATACAAATTTGCGGCGATTTTTGAAAGACATAATAATTTGAATAATAAATTCTTCGCCGACATTGTAGGTATTAAAGGTACGAAGTGCAAATATTTGTTCACTTCTGTAATGACTCACAGTCAGTTAAATCTATTTATAAACAGACACCTCCATCGGGCTAATGTCAGATATCAAGTTCACGAAACTACTTTGTAATACAGATCTCACCGATCTATTGGCAATAGTTTTTTTCTTATAAATTCCCGTACGCAAATAACTTTAATACCGAAACTTCTATCCGAGATATTTGGCTGCAATTAAACTTAAAGTTTAATGATACCTAAACTGAAAGCTTTGAATATAATGTAAAAGCAGCGTATGCATCATAATATTTGCTTCTTAGGGTTTAGAAACGGGATACTATGAAGATGACGGCTTCATTGTAGTAATTTCTGAGGGAGTCGAGATGAGTAGATTCCCAGCTGATCGAAGGAGGCATTCTTCAAATTGGTCCTGGTTTAAGGTCATCAGTATTTTAGAACATTGCGTCATCTTCAATCCATTTGACATTTCATTTATCACTTTTTGAGTACTAACCTTCGACTAACTATTTATGGTCAAACTCTCGAATTGAATGAAAGGCCCCAACAAAACAGTTTTGTATGAAAAGTCATGTTCCAACAATTCCTGTCATCTATATTGTCAAATTTGTTTACATAACAGCATTGTTATTATAATATAAAAATTTCAACAATTACATATCCCGTATCACAACGCAGGAATGCCTGGCTGGTTGAAGACATTAACTAGTTTCTTTAAAGTCAGTAGGATTTTAACACTTGTAATAAATCAAATTTAGAAGTAACATATTTAAAATCACTAATAATCCTAGCACTTTCACCGTAGCCCTAACTTCTTTAGTGTTTTGCATCAATCTATACTGTCGTTCACGCAAGGCTGAATTACCAGTAGAATATTAAATTTAGCTTCGATTGATCATAGCTTTATCATCAACACATCTGTTTTTAACATTTTCGACATTAAAAATAACATCTATTGTCAATTCTAGGGTGTCTATGAAATAAGGCGACGTATGTCTTTGCCTGAAATTGTGCCCGACTGGCCCATTTTGATGGAGGCTGTTAAAATAAAGGTTCGATAAAATGAAGGAAATAAAATTAAACACTAAACTAAAGATATGCTGATCATTTAAAATACTAAAATGAAAAGAAATTTTGTTTTGAAATGAACCTATATCAAGTATTTTAGCTGAAACACATTTAGAAAATGAATTTTAAATGATTTGCGAAATCTTCTAAATAAATGAATGAGTATTGAGGAATATTAAAAATTAAACTAAAAACTGAACTGGACATTAATCGCTTTCATCTACATAAAAAAACGGATTGTGAACAGAAACCCATTTTCTTTTGTATTTTGGGATAGCTTTTTTTTATAAAACTGACTAAAGAAAAACAATTCTTGGCGTTCTTATTGAATACGATGAAAGCGATATTTGTCCAGTAACATAAATAAAGGCATTTAAAAATGAACTCTTAAAATTAACCCAAATAAAAAACGGTTTTTGTATCACCACTTCACTTTTTGGTTTTGTCCATTTTCAGGGAATGTAAATGGAATGAATTTGATGAGCATTATTTTGGATTTTCAGTTCTGTCTCTCACAGGTTTATTATTGACGTCGGATTGAGGAGCTTCTGTCACGTCATTGTAATTGTTATAATCAGTTTTTCGTTCACGTATTTCATTACTTAAGGCTGATGCATCCGGTGTTTCGCAGATTTTGGAATTTTGTATGATGTGTTTGTAGATTGCCAAGAATATTTACAAGTACCTCTATCCTTTTTTTTTCTTAAACTAGTCTAATATTATTAGTAGAGTATATTGTTTCAGTAGATACATTAGAAAACTTTCGTAGAAATAGTAGCCTAATTTTAAATAGGGGGCAGATTCCTGTTCCTATACTAAAAGTAGCAACTAGGTAAGGAAATATTAAGGACGAATGAATATTTTATAGAGATCCCCCCATAACAGAAGACAGTCCTTGGCTGAACTGATTCCGGATTGGCCTGTGCTCCACTCGTTCAAAAGAGAGGAGGTTTGAATAAGAAAATAAATAAACACCTTGATGTGTATTACAACAATATGCAATCTATGGCACAGCAAAAATCTTCCACATGTTCACTACTATAGATATCGGATTCAGTAAAACGAGTATTTTCATATTCGTTTCTTTCTCAAAAAAAAAAAAACTTTCTTAATTATATTCAAGTTTCAATAAAGTTTTATTGATGTCAATACTAATTTTACTGAATCGATTCTTCTTCAAAAGCAATACTTTGGAGCACCATCCTACAGTACACTATAGCACATTACTCGATTCTCCTTTTGTATTTATTATATCAGTCGAATGGACACTTGCGTAGTATTGGCACAATATACAACTTTCGCACAAAGCACAAATCACATTCCAAGACCACGTTCTTCGCAATAAGTATAATAAAATTCCTCCGAAAGATATAGAAGAAGAAAAAAATTAGAAATTCCAATTTCTGTACCATAGCATGATGTTTATGGTGTGGGTTATACGGATGGCTGATGTTAACGCCTGGGTTAAACTTTTCACTGATTGTGTCTTTGATATACTTCGCGTTATTTGACCGTGGGTAGTTGGAGTCAAGGTACTGTGAGACGGTCGATACTACTGCTTTCTGTTTTGAAGAGCACCTTGCAGCACACGTGTTGTTCCGCATCAAATGTGCACGTTTATTGTGAAGACTTGCATATTTTTTTCCAGAAACAAGAGTCGTTCTTGAAGCCACTCGTGGATCAAAATGTTAAGGAGGGCAAGGATAAGAAGGTGGTCTTCGAAGCCATCTTCACTAAGCCTAATTCGAAACCGAAATGGTTGTTCCGTAAAGACGTAAGTAATGATGAATTACGCGGCATTACCTGCACGGAAGACAGTCAAAAGTGAGGTAATTTAAAATGTTTTTTTCAGGAATTATTCCCTAGTACAAAATATAAGATAGTAAACGAACAAGATTCCTACAAACTCATTATCATGAATCCTAAAGTTGACGATACTGGAAAGATCACATTGGAAATCGGCGGCGTTTCATGCTCTGCCTTCCTGCACGTTGATGAACCGGACCCCACTTATACCTTCACGAAACCTTTGAAAAAGAACACCAGTGGCTACACTAAGCACGAAGTGTTACTTGAGTGTGCCGTATCCAACAGTTTGGCTATCGTTTCCTGGTGGAAAGGAGACCAGAAACTGGAAGACGGTGACGAGTACCAAATCTCAAAGGACTTGTCCGGTGTCTGCAAGCTTATCATCAAAAATGCCAAGTTCGATCATGCTGGCAAATACACTTGCAGGATTGAGAAGCAACCAGACAAAACGGAGACTGATGTCAAGATCGTAGGTAAGTTTCGAGATAAGACTGAGATGTTTTAAGCCAAGCCCCGTAGTTTTTAAGAGTCGTGTTGAGTTGGGAATGAGTTGCTCGCTCCGGGCATTTCAATATTGTAATAATTGTTATGTTATAATCTTCATTGTAAAAATGAATATTTAAAAAAATAATATAATATTATAAAAAATAAAATCTAATATTTAAAAAAAAAGAAGACATGCCCGCTGAGTTTCTTGCTAATTCTTCTCAGGACGGAGGCTAGTTTTTGTGAATTGGCGGTAGTTCTTTTGACGTTCAACAAGTGTGTACTTTCATTTATGTTGAATAAATTTTATTTGATTTGATTTGTTATGTACTGTTTTGTTTTTAGAATACCCATACAAATTCACCAAGGTATTAAAATCACAACAAGCCATCGAAAAGGACACCATCACGCTGCTCTGTGAGCTAGATGACGCGAGTGGTGATGTGAAATGGTAAGTAATCACTATAGATTAAAAATATATACTATGGTAAAGTATTATGTAAATATTACATACTTCTGAACGGTATTGCTTAATTCAAATCAATTTGACATGAGTGTAATAAGCATGGGAGTTATAAACTGTATCCAAGGAGAGGTAACGAAACCAATAGTTTGGATTAAACTGATTATTCCACATCACAGAACCATGACTCTTATATAATTTTAATATTGTATATTAAACTTTAAAACTACAATAATCTGGTTTCTGTCAAATTAGCTTAAACCAGTAAACTAACATGCCTATAATATGAGCATTATGGCATTGAAGAGTGACAGTAAACGCACACCATCGGTGTCTTAATGGCAATAAAAAATATACATACAATTTTGGTAAAACTCACAATTAACTTAAACAGGTTGGAAATATGTAGGAAATTCATCAAATTACAAGGTACATTATTTTAGAATGTACTAGATCACAGGATGTTTGTTGGAATATAAAAATTTATACATCAATTTCTATTGTATAAGACGGTATTCTTGAAAAACGTTTGTCAGATTACCGCCGGTCAACTATATGTTTTCCTAAATGTCCTGTTTAGTTGTTAGTAACCACGTAACAAGGGCTCATTAGAATACTTCGGCTAAATCTTGATATACACTTCTAGGTTCAAGAACAATGAGCCTCTGAAACCAGACAAGCGAATTTCAATTGTGAAAGAAGGTCGCAAGCGGAAGGTTATCATAAAGGACGCCAAGGTCACAGACGCTGGACACTTCAAGTGTACCACTAACGCTGACGAGACTCAGTGCGAACTTATTGTCAATTGTAAGTGTTGTTTAACTATTATATTATGAAAACTGTTTTTTAAATCCACATCTTGTACGTTCAGTTTTCTACCGCACAATATATATCAAACTTATGGAAAAATATTTTTTTTATTTAATTAATAATTTGATGAACACAAAAAGATATAACTGGTTGAACATGTACCTATTGTACTTTTAAAACTGCCCAACGTTCTTTAACCGTTCATGCAAAATTTGTAATCAATCGCAGGTTAAATGTGACCAAATATCCAAGCCGTTAGATTTAAAAACATTTGGAGTAGTTGAAAAGAAAATCCCAGTCTTGGCTTATCAAAAGATAAAGATAAGCAACCATGTAACGACTACAACGACTAACGTAATACAGTTATTGTATACTAAGAATGCTGGTTGATGCTTAATTGTTTTCTTTAGACGCGAATCGGTTCAACAAGAAGCTGAAAGACACAGAAGCTATTGAGAGAGATAGGGTCGTCCTCGAAGTCGAGCTGCAAGATCAAACAGCAGAAGCAGTTTGGTCGTTCAACGGACAACCAATCGTACCCAATGAGAGGTCAGTTTCACACTATATAACTTTTGTTTCATACGTGAATTAAAGTAATGTTTAATGGATTAATGCCGGGAACGTGTTATGAGCTTCTTCGGACACGTCATGCGGTCTCCCAGACATGAATTAGAGAAGCTCATAATTACGGGTCGCATAGAGGGCAAGCGCGCCGTGGGCAGAACACCAGCCAGATGGTCAGACCTAGAGAGACCTGCACCAAGAGAAGCACTTGGTGGTAGTCAGTACCATGCGGTCCATGCCACCCACGATCGAGCACATTGGAAGTACGTCGCATGTGGTCGCGATCCTCAGTAGTAAGGGAACGATATAGAAGTTATTGGATTTATGATTTCAAAATAGACGTTTCCAATAAATATTGTGTAGATCAAGCCGATTGATCTAATGTATTTTTTTTAAACAGAATTGAAATAAAAAATCTGGGCGGTGGCAAACACCAACTAATCTTCAACAAACTAGAGATGGAAGACGACGGTGAAATCTTGTGCGAATCTGGCAAGCTGACCTCTTCTTGTAAATTGACTGTGAAGAAGGGTGAATCCAAACCTGCCATCGAATGTCCTGATGAATTCAATGGTCCTGCTGGACATCCCTTCGTCATTGAGGTGCCTTATAAAGGTATATAAACATTGTATTACAGTCATGTATAAGTTTGAGATTTCACAGAATTAACGATTCGCAACCAGAACATTATGTAGACTAAACAAAGCTATTTCTAAGCATTGCTACGGTATTATGACAATGATCATAGGTTTGAATTCGGATGATGGGTAATTTATGCAATACTTTTGATGATCGATAAAATACCTAAAACGTGATAGACAAACTTGAGCACTTTCGCATTTATAATATGCATAATATTAGTAAGTAGATAAGTATGGACAAAAACTAACATCCATGAATAAGATGTGGGTACATACAGTGATGTGACCATACATATTTGTTTTTTAAATCCAATAAATTTTGTAGATAGATTAAAATGTACGAATAATTGAAAACAAATATTTGGAAACAAGACGAACAGCTAACTTTCTTTTATTTTACAGTTACTGGTACCCGACAAACACCAATTGAAGCGAAATTATGGAAAGACGGAAAAGCCTTACCAGCCAAAGAAGTCGAGGTTGTTGTTGAACAAGAAAAGGTTCTCTTCAAATTTAAGAAGCCGTCACGCGAAGGATCAGGAAAATACCAGATCAAATTGTCGAACGCCCAGGGTGAAGACTCTAAAGATGTTAATATCACCATGCAGAGCGCGCCTACAGCTCCGCAAGATGTAGAAGTATCAGAGGTCTTCCAAACTTCTTGCGTTGTTGCGTGGAAAACTCCACAGGATGACGGTGGTTCACCAATCATCAAATACGTTATCGAGAGACAGGTAATTAACGTTTATTTCGTCAGTTCTGCTAAATACATCATCGAGTAAGTCCAGGTTTCCATTGCATCTACAATCCTGGTCTTGAATTTGTTATAAATGGCGAACAAATTCACAGTGCCGTTACTTCAAGTTGAAATCTTTATGTATCCTTAATTACGTAAACTATAAGTATATAAAATACTTATTGAATCGCTTCTTCTCAGGATATGTCTCTCAAAGCCGGTTGGGACAATGTGGCTGAAGTACCATACGGTGAACCAACTAAGTTCAAGGTAGAAGACCTCATCCCCAAGAAGACGTACAAATTTAGAATCCGTGCTGTTAACAAGATTGGTTCAAGCGAACCCGGTCTCTTCTCCAAACCCGTTTTGGCCAAGGATCCTTGGGGTAAGGCTGAAGCTATCGCAAGATGCGTACTAATTGTCCACTCAAAATATTTTAAAAACATGTTCATCGTATTTATATCGTGGTTAATACTAGATAAAACGGGTTTTATATCCTTTTTAAAATAGCAAAGCTGTAATTATTATTTTTTGGCTAATTTAGACAGAGGATTTTAGGATGCATTTGGGTTGTATGATTTTGGCGTTATAGGAGTACTGGAGTTCACACTATGCTAATGGTGTTACCGTTATCCACTTTAAATATGAAGTTGATTTTTTTATTGCATTGATATAATTATCCTATCCTTCAAACCGGAACTGGAGATTGCTTTACGACAGCAATAGGTATATGACATGGTATCCTGCGAGCTTGCATACCACCAGTACTCACGATAGGACATTTAAGGTTTTCATTAGCGCAATAATTAATGTGTCTACCCTTATGCACATCACTAAACAATGGTGTAATATTAAAATCATTTTTGTAATTCCGTAACTGATAAGCCTATTGTTGAACTCGCTTATGGCCGGTTCAATTAACCAACTCTATTACTAATTGCAGATGAGCCATCGAAACCTAAAAACGTGGAACTCACTGACTGGGACAAGGATCACGCAGACCTTAAGTGGCAGAAACCTGAGAACGATGGCGGTGCTCCCATCACCGGCTACGTCATTGAGTATAAGGTTATTAACAATTTTTTTGGATTTTAAATCTATATAATACTAGCTTTTGCCCGCGACTTCGTCCGCGTGGAATAGCTACTTTGGCATAACGCTAAATTTTACCCGCGGCTACATTTACAGCACTCAGGATTGGAACTTCATTACTGAACCGGTAGATGGCGTTGAAGAAGCTAGATTTTGAGATTTTTTGACAAACATTTTTTTAATTTTTCGTAAAAAATATATATATATATATATATATTTTCTTAATAAAAAGTATCCTATGTTACTTCTAATACCTCCAAGAATATGTGTACAAAGTTTCATGATGATCGGTTGAGTAGTTTTCGCGTGAAAGCGTAACAAACAATCTTACATTCACATTTATATTATATTAGTAGGGATGTTCCATACAGATAACAAATAAATTAAATGCAGTGAAAAAAAAGCTTAAATACAAAACATTCGGATTATTCGGACTGACAATAATTAATTTTATAGTTTCTTTTCTCGATGGATACTGTTAGGATATTAGAGCGAAATTATAAAATTATTGTATTGTCATCGATTTTTAAAAGCGAGTCCAAATTTTCAAGTTAATCGAATAGTGAAAACATATATATAATACATACCTCATCATCTTTAAGACGCCTTATTACATAGCCAGCTAATAAGTGGTCGTCTGATGTAAAATTCTATAAGCCGTATAAGCAATTCTGAAAAACATTAACGCAGCTCATAGATTTTGACTTCTGACATGTATTTGAACTATATCTACATATTTCAATGATGCAAAATCTACAATTGCCCCGATGTAGGATTTTTTTTAGTGTTGTAAAATATTAGTATTACATCCAAGATATTAGCATATAGTATTGAGATGACGGCTGATAGAAGAAGAAGATAGTGGGATAAGGTGGAGAAAAAAAAGAAGATTCAGGGCTCGCCAAGCATTCAAATAGACTTTAGACTAGACTAGAGACTAGGGTTAGATTAGACGAAACTCTATTCATGCTCGTGATAAATACCAATAAGAAGGAGGTTCTCATTTTAGACAAAACCTCAAAACTGAATTTTCTGCTACCGTGGTATCGGTTTGAGGGAGTCCGTATAGAGTCTCTACTTTATTTCGCGGGAAAATCGTGTTTTTGGATCACTCGTAATTAACACCATAGTTGAAATAATAGGAGTTTTATTGTTGCAGCGGCTTACACAGTTCTAAGTTAAGCACATTATTTTTTTCGTCTTATGTATTTTTGGCGGTAAAAAAGTATAGTGTCACAGACTGTCTTTTTTTTCCCACCTCTCGTGCATTCCGGCTTAAGCATCATATAAAGGTGCGTTCTTAAACGCCACAGGTTCTTAATTACATTAGATTTTTTTTTTATTTTACTGTTTTTATTATCTCGCAGGAGAAATTCGGCAAAGACTGGGTTACCGGTAAGGAGGTGCCCGGCGATTGCTTAGCTGCCACGCAGGATGGATTGAAGGAAGGTTGCACATACGAATTCAGGGTCCGAGCGATCAACAAAGCCGGCCCCGGTGAACCAAGTGACGCTACCAAACCCATCATTGCTAAATGCCGATTTGGTAAGTTCAACTGATAAAATTGTTTTCAAAAGAAACTGTGATCAAGATATGTACTCGTCGAATTATTATGCAAATATTGTCTTTCTATTACTGGTGGTAGGACCTCTTGTGAGTCCGCGCGGGTAGGTACCACCATCCTGCCTATTTCTGCCGTGAAGCAGTACTGCGTTTCGGTTTGAAGGGTGGGGCTGCCGTTGTAACTATACTGAGACCTTAGAACTTATATCTCAAGGTGGATGGCGCGTTTAAGTTGTAGATGTCTATGGGCTCCAGTAACCACTTAACACTAGGTGGGCTGTGAGCTCGTCCATCCATCTGAGCAAAAAAAAGTTCCACTACTTTTACTTAAAATTTAATAATAAGTTGATAACAACAAGGTATATTAGTCGATAAAAAACGAACTCTACCTAACCACGGATTACTGCACTCAATTTGAAAAGTTTATGTAATCTTTTTTGTGTATTTTTTACAGTCAAACCTTATATTATCGGTGAGGGTCTTCAGAACATGATAATCAAGAAGGGACAGGTGATAAGTTTCGATATTAAATACGGCGGTGAACCTGAACCGGAGGTCAAATGGATGAAGGGAGAAGAGGTAAGAAGCATCATTAAAATTATTTCTATTCGACATTGAACAAAAACCTTTTCTTTTTCAATCAAACTGATTATGATCTAATAAGATGATAACAACCAAACATTGTTTATTATTTCTTTGCCATAAATACGCAAACTAGAAAGATGTGATCGCCGTCTATGGATTTTTTTTGGAAAGAAGTCGTCTTTTCGCATTAAAAGTGTGCAATTTCCAAAAATATTCGAATTATTGAGTTAATACGCGGAATCATTTGGTATCACCAGTATTTTTCTCATAAATGAGTCGACTATTATCAAAGCCGGCAATCTGACTTTTGGAAAATTATTGGTAAATTAGAAAAACGAATTATTGACTTTGTATTCCATTGGCAGTCACAAAACTCTTCGGAACGACATCTTAGATAAATAACAGGTTAACTATTAACCTTTATTTAATGCAGGTTTTGAACCGTATTCTTTGAAGGAGACGATTATATTCAAATCAATCTGTATTGACATATCAATAACATTTTTTTGTCCAAATGCACAGATTGCCACCTTTGATAATAGACGACTCAAATACTGTCAAAAGAGCGTAGTTTAGTTTTAGTTGTTTATTTTTTAGTTTACCTATATTTTGACTACTAGTAACAAAATTAATACTTATTTTTATCTTACTTTAAAAGACAGATAATGTAACTGGTAAAAGATAAAAAATAAATGTAGCAAAGATTATTATTATTGTTAAAAATATCACATGTTAAACCTTTAAAACACCCTCCTGTAAAATTAGTAAGTTTTGAGATTATACAGTTTTAATGCGAGAAGACGATGTATTAAAATCTATCAAAATTACTCTCACTCATAAGTGTTATTTAAGTAGGCTTTCATTTTTGGTACACATTGTAATACTGTTTTTGTTTTTTTTTTCCTCGAAAAAGAAACGCGGCAAGCCGTACACGGAGAAGGTTAGACGGACAAAAATGGCCAACGTTACACGCTATAAATGTTTCTAAAAATATACTTTATTCTTTACAATTCTACACTTTCAAATGTGACTAACACTCCTCGACTATTGTTTGATCGGTGTAATATTGAAATATTTCGTTCGAGCACTAGCCTACGCTGAAAGATAAACAAATGCCCTATTCCATCTTTTTCGCGGCAAGAATCTGGAAAGAGGAGTAATTAATGTTGACTTCATCTTTCAAAGTGCTTCACATGAGAAATATGTCGCATGTAAAATATGTATGAATAACATGCTTGATACATTAAACGGGTCACGATTCTATTGGATTTTACATGGAACATAAAAAAATGTGGTCTTCACCCAATGATTGAAATTCGATCATAATTACTGATACCTTAAAATTTATTAACATTTTTAAAGCTACGTTTTCTCTTCTGTTTTTTGACATTTAAAAGCAATTTCCACAACAAAATTATTGACGACACTGATGTGTTTCAATGACTACTAAACAAAAAAACAAAAAAAAATTGACCATCAGAGGAGAAAGTGGTATTTAGTTCTTAAATCTTCGACTCTGTATAATGTTTAAAACTATAATAACTTTTATAATTAAATCCTTCATTTCCGTTATTACACCGATCCAAACAATCACAAAAATACATGCGATTGCACAAGAACACATCGTTGTATTATTATGTGGCTTCACGCATTTTATGTAAGCTTTCAATGTTGTAACCACACTATTAAAATTTTCCCTTTTATTTCTTGAGGTGCCGTCTCCCCGCGGACGTCGGCTACCATTAGGACTAACATTGTTTTGATCAGGGCTACGCGGAATAGGAATGCCGTTGATAATTTCTTTTACTTAAATATAAAAACTATGGAGATTTCAAAACATTGAAAAATAAATAACGAATATATAATAATAAGAATAAATTAATTTTTTTTTGTGTCACCGCTTTAAGTATTTTTACGCTTTTTTTTCGCTTAGATTGATTTCCATTTTCTTTATAATCCTCCCTTTGTTACCGGGTAGCAGTGACTGCTAGTGTATTTTTTTAATGTATATATACCTACGTAATGTGCATTTTACAATACATTGCTGTGTAAGATGAGCGCGGCACATGTACATAGTTGAAGTCTCCATTATATGTTAATATCAGTCGTTTCACTTTCAAGCGGTAACGCATCACTAGTTCGTTGTAAAAATAGACCAGGCAGTGCCATCATCGTGTGGCCTTACAATGCACACTACCATGCTATACTGCCTATGCCTTTTAGATAGAAAAATAAAGATGTAGGCATTAGGAAAATATGATAAAAATGTAGGTTTTTAATACCTAAAGCTCTATATTTCGAATAGAGATTAGAATAATAATAATAGTAAGGTCAATACACAACTTGACACGAACGAATCACAGGTCATAGTGCATTTTTTTACATAATTGAATGAACATACGCAATGCACACTCACTTCTTTTTTTTACTGTAGAATTCACTTTCAATTTTTCTTATGTGGTAACACTCGACGGTTTACCGTCAACTATCAAAACGTATCTAACACTTTTTTCTACTGAATTTTGGGAATGCAACTCGTTTTTATTCTCTATTTATTTAATTAAGTATTTTTACATAAATGCAAAGGAAATTGTTATGAAAGACTTTCAGAACAATTCTCCCTCCAACAACTTTAGCTATCTTATTTGCACGAAGAATGTTATTGGATTAAATAATAACATTAATTTTGGATTATGATCCAAGATTCTATAGATTATTGTTTTCCTCTAGTTTTTTTTTTCTTCCGAAATATTGTGTTTGTTGTCGATGAGTTGCAATCCCATTTTAATATTTCTCTCTCTAAAACAAAACTTATAACTTTAGGAAATTCGGGACGATGGAGACCGTATCACCATTGACAAGTACGAGAGGAACACGGTCCTGACGGTCAGAAAGACCACCAGACCAGACAGTGGCAAATACAAATTGGTATTGACCAACTCTTCGGGAACATGCGAGAGTATTGCTGATGTTGTCGTGCTTGGTAAGACACTATTTATGTTAATGAATTTAAAATAATATTTATTTTCTGTAACTATAAAAAGCCCAAGAAAAAATAATTAAGATAAGTATGTACTTTCTTTTTTCATAAATCGGTAAAAATATATTGAACGTAATGTAAAATATTTATTTTATGGTGCAGTAGTCTTATATATCTCTTTAAGTAACTTGAGTAAAAGAAATATATTCTTTTCTTCGTCATATTACCATTATATTTGCTAAGACTCACTACTGGTAAAAAACTCTTTCAGACAAACCGAACAGGCCTAATGGTCCAATTGAGGTGGTTGACATTCGTGCCGAGAAAGCAACTGTCAAATGGCAGAAACCTGATGACTGGCAAGGGTCCGACATCACCGGATACACTCTTGAGAAAATGGATATGGTAATTCTATTTGTATTACTACAACATACCGTTTCCAGCAAGAAACAAAATACTTGTTTAAAAACTATTGCGTTAGTAGCGACATCTTTTGTATTGAATTTTACATTATTACAAAAACTACCACTTCAGTAGGGAGCGCTGATTTACAAATGTTTAGTTTTAGGAAAACGAATATTCTGTTGATTATTAAAGTGTGTTCTTTTATTTTAGGATACTGGAAACTGGGTACCTTGTGGTGAGACTGGACCTGAACCAACAGAATTCACAGTGAAGGGTCTCACACCTAACCATAAGTACAAATTTAGAGTCCGTGCAGTCAATAAGGAAGGAGAATCTGAACCTCTAGAAACTGACGGATTCATTGTCGCCAAAAATCCGTATGGTTAGTTTACTGAAATTATTTATTGAAATTGATTATTACATATTCACCGCATTCAAGATTTGATTAAAACAAAACGCAAAAGAGCGCCAAATTCGAAGTTGAGTTTGACTTCGTGACAGTTCGTAAAACTTGACATTATTATTTTACTTAGCATTAGCAAAATTAACAAAAATAAACAAAGTAAAAAAATGCCTGATAAAACTCTGATTTTAAATTTTAGACCCACCAAAGGCGCCTGGAAAGCCGACAATCGTCGATTACGACAATATGTCTGTAACTTTACAATGGGAACCTCCAAGCGACAACGGCGGCAGACCCGTATTGGGATACGTAGTAGAAATGAAGGATAAATTTGCTCCTGATTGGATTGAGGTAAGCTATATACGTGGGTAGTCATATTTTGGGCTATATAAATCTGTGCCATTGAACTTAAAATAACAAAAGTGTTTCATCAAATAAGATGTAAATAATCTATTAGTTAACCAAGATTTGCAATATAGACTAGATGATCTGAATATGAAGATCATAGCTAACTATTATGCCCTGGTGGCTAGCGTAGCCTTGTCTAACTCTTAGAAGGTTGATGTCATAGTTCACAGGTCATTCACAATTCCAGCCCCACACTGGTTAGGAAAATCTGTGGAGAACTCATTTCAAAAAGTTAAATGACAAAAACTGTTTCTTAGAAATGTGTTTACTATTCTTCTCTCTACTAATCTAGCAATAATTTTTCATGGATCCAAAGATTTTCCTAAGGTTCTGGGATTGTCGTTGGCCTGCTGCAAACTTAATACATCTTGCCTTCAAAGAATTGAAGCAAAGTGTGGCGATTGTCGCACTAATTTGGCAAAATGCTTAACGGCTGTGTTACAATGACCTTAATGTCTTAAAGACCTTTTAAGACGAATAAATATAGTCCAATATCAACACCATTCTTATGAATGATTTTTGGAGACGATAACTGTGCTAAAAAATTGCTTAAAAATGTTTGAGTAATAAACAGATAACTTGCCTCTACTAGAAATAAGTTTTTATTTTCTAATTTAAAATTTTATTATTTAGACAATAGTTTTGATACAACATTCTGGTGTGTACAGGTTGTCAAGACGAATGATACAAAGACCGAATACAAGGTAGAAGGTCTCAAAGAAAAGATGGTTTACCAGTTCCGTGTCAAAGCTTACAACAAAGCTGGAGTTGGTGACGCTTCAGAGCCCACTGACAACCATCTTTGTAAACATAAGAACCGTAAGTAAAATCAAATTTATTTTTTCAGTTATTATTGATGAGCATAATAAAGAATAATGTTAAACATCTGCCCTTTAAGTTTATAAAATAGCAGAATATTGTTTTCTACGAATGAAAATATAATTATTGCAACAGTTTTACAGTCACATTCATTATTTTTAATATTAGTTTTGATAACAATATAGGTAATGCTAAGATACCAAACTAAAGTATATTTTTTGGTAAAAGAAAAAAATAAAAAACTAATAATAAAAACAATAATTCTAAATAATATAAAAGATTACTCAATGAAAAGTTATTAAACAATTTTGTATTTGTCACAGATTTTTTTGTATTATAATACACTACTTACATATTCTCTCTAATAATATATTTAAACACTTCTAAGGACTATGAGAAATGAAAAAAGAAATTAATTTAAAGTTCATAAGTCTTCTGTGTTCTTACTTTTTTGTTAGCAATTACCAAATGCATTAAATTAAAAAAAAAACAAAATTAAATAGTAAATTCTTTTCGTTCTTGGACATCATTCAGCTTATTCTGGATGATGACAGATGCATAATATCCTTTTGGATAAGATAAAGTTGCAATTATAATGTTATTAATATCAGCATTAATCATTATTTAAACACTTTTATATTGTTCAAAATAGTCAAGCCACGCATCGAGCGCAGTACATTCAAGTCTGTTATCATCAAGGCTGGTCGTACTCACAAATGGTCTGTGGATGTCATTGGTGAACCTCCACCAGAGACCACCTGGTAAGTTGCTCTTTATCTTGATTCAGTATTGAGCACTTTTATTTTATGACTAGCGACCCGCCCTCGCTTCGCTTCGGAAACATTAAAACACACATGAAACCAAAAAAAAAAAAAAAAAAATATAAAAAAAAGTAGCCTATGTTCATCAGGGACAATGTCGGCTTCTAATGGAAAAAGAATTTTTCAAATCGGTCCAGTAGTTTCGGAGCCTATTCGAAACAAACAAACAAACAAATCTTTCCTCTTTATAATATTAGGATAGATGTGAAATTCGATAAATTTATTTTATTTAAACTTTATTTCAGTTTTTTTTTTAAAACCATATCATTTTGTTAGTAAGAATTAGTTATAATCTATGTTAGTAACTTAATATCTTTGTGCAAACATAATATAGTTGTCATTGTTGTAGTTGTGATATAAGGTTTTTCTAAAGGTAAAAATGTGATTTCTGAAAATAAGTACCAAATTATTACATTGGTTTAAATTATTGATCTCAATGTCAGCTAAAACCCTATACATATAAGTGGAAATTTAAGTTTCATCTGCCAGTGTAATATATACACAACTTTCTACGTTTTGTTTCTTAAAGCAACCGCAAGATGGCACTAAGCTGTTTCAAACTCCAAACTGAATCGCGATGACGAGATACTCAGTGTTGCAATGACTTTCTGAGCCCTTAGCGAAGTAAAGCATACTTACCTGGCGTAGGGGATACCGTGATCAATTAGGCGGTTCCCCCAGGGCGAGGCTGCTCCATTGCACTGCGGAGCGGTTGACCCTTGCGATTATCCCTAATGCGGATAACTCGGACGCGTAATTTTTGGTAGTGAGGACTGCGTACGCGCTGTCCTCTCATTATATACCTGGTACACAAATATGCTATATCACATACACGTCACACAATCTTACAATCTATTGTGCATTAGACTTGTGCAAAACATCACTTCCCAATGTAATGTGATATGACATCACTTTTACAGATAGGTGATATTACTCGAAAACATTACACATCACTCTTAACATTACTCGGTGCGTTCAATAGATACTGTGACGACGAATACATTGTATTTATACACCCGAATCATTACCTAAGTGATGTGTTGATACACATCACTTAGGTAATGATGCGGGTGTGTCATTACAGTAGTGTATTACAATACAAAGTACGAACTTTGTATTGTAATACACTGTTATATTACTTGACAGAGATTGACTTACTTAATAATATAATAATTTTATTTTTTACTTAATATAATTTATTGTGGGTTGAACGGATTTCATATGGCGACTTAGACTGCAAATTGAGCTCGACAATAATGTTAATATACGAGAGCAGTAGATGCATTGTTTCGGCGCGATATCCTCAAAGTGCATCCAAGGAGGACTGTACTTTCATTTAGACGCCGTTATTTTTTTCACTTATTAAACACGCATTAAAACAAATAATAAAACTATCTTCAAACAAGTGCTTAAGTAATTCAAATCAGCTGCGGGACATCGTCTCGGCGCTGTTCCCGCAGGAGCGGGAGGGATTTTTCGCTCCCGCTATGGACGCGCCGCCGGAATACGACGGCGAAGTCCCTGCTGAGGTGCCCCGCATAACGGGGGCGGAGCTCCGTGTGGCCGTGCGCAAAATGTGCGCGAAAGACACTGCACCCGGCCCGGACGGCGTGCATGGCCGGGTTTGGGCCTTGGCTCTTGGTGCCCTAGGGGACCGACTCTTGAGGCTTTACAACTCCTGCCTCGAGTCGGGACGGTTTCCTTCATCGTGGAGGACGGGCAGACTCGTGCTGTTGAGAAAGGAGGGGCGCCCGGCGGATACTGCCGCCGGGTACCGTCCCATCGTGTTGCTGGATGAGGTGGGCAAGCTGCTGGAACGCATTCTGGCGGCCCGCATCATCCAGCATCTGGTCAGGGTGGGACCCGATCTGTCGGCGGAGCAGTATGGCTTCCGAGAGGGCCGCTCAACGGTAGACGCGATCCTTCGCGTGCGGGCCCTCTCGGAGGAGGCCGTCTCCAGGGGTGGGGTGGCTTTGGCGGTGTCTCTCGACATCGCCAATGCGTTTAACACCCTGCCCTGGTCCGTGATAGGGGGGGCGCTGGAACGGCACGGAGTGCCCCCCTACCTTCGCCGGCTGGTGGGTTCCTACTTGGAGGACAGATCGGTCACGTGTACCGGACACGGTGGGATCGTGCACCGGTTCCCGGTCGTGCGCGGTGTTCCACAGGGGTCGGNAACACAAAAATTAATATGAAATATTACTAAACAATTACGAGCGAATAGCGATTTTACAAAAGTTGCGAATAAAAAATTAAGTAAGTACTTGCGGGGAACTACCGGCTGGCCGCATGAAAAATATAAACACAAATACCTATATGAAAATTCAGACGTACCATAGGTATAAAAATGTACCTAGCGGCCAGGACATACGGTTCAAAATCACTAGGAATAATTCCGTGTCGCTTGCTCATTTATTTTGCGTCGATCGGTCTGTCTCGCTCGCTCGGTTCCGTTCGTGTATTAAGCAACATTACACGACAAAGAAAGAAACATGTTGGGTGATAGTGTGATGTTTGTTTCCTTCGCGTAATGTGTGATGTTGCATTACATCGTAGAGTAATATTACCCGAGTAATATCACTCGCATTACTTACACATGTCTAGTCTCTTCTTAAGTTCTTACATCATGTGCTAAGTATATAGTATTTCTCGTGTACTGGTTCCCAATGTTCCCATTGCTTACAATAGATCCAAAACCTTAATTCGAATAACACTGTAATGTTTATTGATTACAAAAACAAAATGATTTTTAGGTCTTGGCGGGACAACATTAAGCTGGTGAACACAGAACGCATCAAGATTGAGAATCGCGATTACCACACTGATTTCACGATCGTGAACGCAGTGCGCCGCGACACCGGCAAGTACACGCTCCGCGCCGAGAACTGCAACGGCTCCGACGAGGAGACAGTCGAGCTCACCGTCCTCAGCAAGCCGAGCTCGCCCAAAGGTGAGGCGTACTGTCGGCCACAACGGGCCACACCAGAATGTTTAAGTTGACGCAGTTCTAAGAGATCACTAAAATTAGAAACGAGAACGTTTTATTTAGTAAAAGCATTTTTAGTCGAACAAATCGTCTTTTCGCATTAAAAATGTACAATTTCCAAAAATATTCGAAATTGAGTTAATATGCGGAATCATTTGTTATCGCCAGTATTTCTCTCATAAATACTGTCAAAAGAGCGTAGTTTTGTTTTAGTTTTTTTTTTTAAGTTTACGTATGTTTTGACTACTATTAACAAAATTAATACGTAATTTTATCTTACTCAAGTCAAAGCGAGTGGTAAAAAATATAAAATAAATGTTTCAAAGATGATTAATATTAAAAATATTACATGTTAAACCTTTAAAATACTCTCCTGTAAGATTAGTAAGTTTTGAGATTATACGAAAAGACGTTTTCGTAACTTGAAAAGGCGCTCGAATTCGCCACGTACCATCCGGCTTTGGAATGAGTTCCCCTCCACGGTATTTCTAGATATGTTTTTCAAACGATACTTGTGGAGTATTAAGTGGGTGTGAGTGGCAGCGGCTTGGCTCTGCCCTTGGCATTGCTGACGTCCATGAGCGACGGTAGTCACTCACCATCAGGTGGGCCGTATGCTCGTCTGCCTAAACGGGCAATAATAAAAATAATAAAATTCACAGGACCTTTGGAGGTTACGGATATCCACGCCGAAGGCTGCAAGGTCAAATGGGAGAAGCCGGAAGACGACGGTGGCTCGCCGGTCAAGGAGTACGAAATCGAGAAGATGGATCTCGCTACCGGCAAATGGGTCAGAGTCGGAAGGTACGTAGGGTTTTCTAACGTTTATTACCTATGACTTCTGAATAGTTTAAAGTCGTCGTGGCCTAAAGGATAAGACGTCCGGTGCATTCGTGTTGAGCGATGCAGCTTCGAATCCCGCAGGCGGGTACCAATTTTTTTAATGAAATACGTACTCAACAAATGTTCACGATTTACTTCCACGGTGAAGGAATAACATCTTGTAATAAAATAAAAAAAATCAAACCCGCAAAATTATAATTTGCGTAATTACTGGTGGTATGACCTCTTGTGAGTCCGCACGGGTAGGTACTACCGCCCTGCCTCACCTTCTTATTTCTGCTAAAAAATATATTGAAAGTCTGTATAATGGAGTGCCACAAACGCCCGGTTCGATTTTATAGCAAAGCCAGAAGACTACATCCCGTGGTCTCATAATAGGTATTATTATATTACTTTGAAAACACACACAAGCTCACACAATGCCAGGCTCGTCAAATTATTCTTCTGATTTCAGAGTCGCCGGCGACAAGAAGCCTCTGGAAATGGACATCACTGGGCTGGAGCCAGGTCACCAGTACAAGTTCAGGGTTACTGCTGTCAATGACGAAGGCGACTCTGAGCCCCTGGAAGCCGAGCGGGCTATACTCGCTAAGAATCCGTTCGGTGAGTCGAGTATACTAACTATATAAGCAATAAAAATCACCTGTTTGGTTTATCTCAACTAATAAAACGCATGTATACACATTTTATTGTAACATTTTTACTGGCGGTAGGACCTTTTGTGAGTCCGCACGGGTAGGTACCACCGCCCTGCCTATTTCTGCCGTGAAGCAGTAACGCGTTTCGGTTTGAAGGGCGGGACAGCCGTTGTAACTTACTTGAGACCTTAGAACTTAATATCTCAAGGTGGGTGACGCATTTACGTTGTAAATGTCTATGGGCTCCAGTAACCACTTAACACCAGGTGGGCTGTGAGCTCGTCCACCAACCTAAGCAATAAAAAAAATTGTGTTGTTTCAAATAATAATTGTATTTGATTAAATCAGATGTGTCCGAGAAGCCGATGAACGTGGAAGTCGCCGACCACGACAACCAGAGCGCCGAGATCAAATGGGAGCCGCCCAAGTCCGACGGCGGTGCGCCCGTGCAGAAGTACATCATACAGAAGAAGCCCAAGGGCGGAGACTGGGAGAACGCTGTTGAGGTTAGCTCAGATTTTGTTGTCGCGAAACTTCTCGAAGGTTCCATTCAAGTTTGACAGGGCTTCATAAGACTCGGTGATAGATAGTGATGGATTTTGTTAAGACACTGGTTGTAGGACCTCTTGTGAGTCCGGACGAGTAGGTACCACCGCCTTGCCTATTTCTGCCGTGAAGCAGTAATGCGTTTCGGTTTGAAGGGTGGGGCAGCTGCTGTAACTATACTTAAACCTTAGAACTTATATCTCAAGGTAGGTGGCAGCATTTACGTTGTAGATGTCTATGGGCTCCGGTAACCATTTTACACCACCTTAAAAATTTGAACTTCACTTGAAAGCATAGTTAACGTTAATGTTCCCGATATCTATTTTTGAGAATTAAAAATATAAAAAAATTGCATATATGCTTGTATGAAAACAAAAGCATAGCTCTATTAAAAGTTTCCCATCGCTCTGGTAGATAGTATAAGATGATTGATGAATACTAGAGAGAAGTTTTTTTTTTACTAGAATCTTGACATATATCCTTTTTCCAGGTGCCCGGTACGCAGACGTCAGGAAAAGTGGAGGGTCTACCCGAAGGCAGCGAATTCCAGTTCCGCGTGATCGCTGTCAACAAGGCCGGACAGTCTGAGCCTTCAGAGCCCACCAAGATGACCACCATTCGGCACAAGGCCTGTGAGTATCAAGCTCAATGCTGTGTATGTATCAAGTATTGTGTCAATGTTGTCAAAGCTTGATAGCTTTGAGTATTCTGCTGCAAGTCATAAACACATACGCTTGGGGCATCCTTGATTACGACTTTGAATGCCAACTTTTTAAAACAAAGTTGGTTTTAGAGGTAAGCAGCGGCTCTGCCCCTGGCATTGCTGAAGTCCATGGGCGACGGTAACCACTCACCATCAGGTGGGCCGTGTGATCGTCTGCCTAAAACCGCAATAAAAAAATTTAAAAAAATTCAATAAAATATTATATGTATTCTTTTTTATTTGCATTTCTCCAGCATACGTACGTTCAAATAAGTAACCTACGTATAAACTACTTAAGTTGCATTTTCCCGTGCAATCTGGAGTTATTATATGGAGACGGAAATGTTTATTTCTTGTTTTAGTGAAACCGCGCATCGACCGCACCAACCTGAAAGCTTTGGCCGTGAAGGCGGGCAAGCCTATATTCTTCGACGTGAATGTTAGGGGAGAACCAGCGCCAAAGGTGCAATGGTTCCAGAAGTGGAAGAACGAAGAGAAAGAGGTAAGCTGTTTTCAGCTTTATTGTCTGAAAATAGAGATCGTTTTGCTTTGAAAAGAAAAAACGGATTGTATGGTTTTATGAAACCACGGTAAAAGTGAAACTTTTTTTCACATTATAGACTCTGACAAACAGCATTTACATTAAATACTGACAAAAACAAACAAAATAGCGTGGAGCACTGGCACAAATGAGTAATAGTCTATACACGGTCAGCTGCTGCGAACTATAGGCGCCGCCATATTGGCCTTGGCTGCTCTGACGAGCGCCTTGCACTTTATCCCTACTCCGCGGCCGACCGTCACGCGACATGCAACACACAGACGAAAAAGTTTGAGACGATGTAATAAAAGTTTCACTTTAAGCTTCAATTACTGTCTTCTACAATATACTTAATTATTAGGGAATTTACGAAAAACTGCAAAATTTAGTTTAATGAGCGACAGTTCTGGTGCAATACTGTGGCCAGAAACTGAATCTGTGGCAGCCCTATTGAGGTCGCGGTGTTCTAACAGAGATTCGTCTTCATCCAGGTCACGGCCAACGTTATAAACGTGGACTACAACACGAAACTGGACATCAAGGAGTCGGTCCGCGCCATGACCGGCACGTACCGCATCGTGGCAACCAACGAGCACGGCAAGGACGAGGCCGAGGTGGAGATCACGGTGCTGTCCTCGCCCAGCAAGCCCGGCGGCCCGCTCAAGGTCTCCGACGTCACCAAGAACGGCTGCAAACTGCAGTGGAAGAAGCCGGAAGATGACGGCGGTTAGTAACGCTGAATTTCGAAGCCCACTAAATCTTTGCAGCAGGTTTCAATCCCGATCCGGTAGTAGATTCATTCGCGAAGCAGCTGCTCTTGAGTTGTTAGGTCTCCTTCGGAGGCGCTCGGGCAGCTGTTAGCAAATCTCACCCCTCATGGTTGAGCCCGTGTTCGTCGACCTGTCCTGGTGAAACTGGACAGGCTTTCGTCCTGGGGTTACCACTAGTTTATAGTAAATACTCATATCCTGCGTCTTCTAGATGAATAACAATGAATGTTTGTATGTTTGTCGTCTATGCGTTCCTGAACAAATATGATTACGATGTAACTGGCACTTTTTTTTTCTACTTAAGCTGATAGCCTTGAGAGGCTATTTCAGCGTAACCTTAACTAGTACGTGAGCTCACAGGGCTCGAACCTGACGACGTCACTAACACGAACCCTAGAAAAAGCCGTGCTTCGCAGAATCTACCACCGGGTCGCTCGGGGCAGTTGTTGGCACTACGGGTGACGATCACAGTGCCATCAACGGACAACAGGCGGCGCTAGTAGTTTTAACAAAACGTTTCTTTTAAGCATTAGAGATGTCTTACTAACACTACTGTCTTATAAAAGGTCTTAATAAATTGGATCGAATATTGAACAGGCAAACCTGTCACCGGCTACATGGTCGAGAAGCTCAACAAAGCGACAGGCCGATGGGTGCCGGTCGGCAAGACCGACGACACGGAGATGGACATCAAGGGTCTCCAGGAGGGCGAGGAGTACGAGTTCAGGGTCAAAGCGATCAACGACGAGGGAGAATCTGAACCGCTCAAGACCGACCATTCGATCATCGCTAAGAATCCTTATGGTGAGTTGCGATTCGTCTTGTTAGTTAATTTATACTGGTGGTAGGACCTCTTGTGAATTCGCACGGGTAGGTACCACCGCCCTGCCTATTTCTGCCGTGAAGCAGTAATGCGTTTTGGTTTGAAAGTGGGGCAGGCGTTGTAACTATACCTGAGACCTTAGAACTTATATCTCAAGGTGGGTGGCGCATTTACGTTGTAGATGTCTATGGGCTCCAGTAACCACTTAACCACTGTCAGCTAGTCCACCCGTCTAAGCAATAAAAAAAATTTGCTAGTGACTGATAATGATAATGATAATGATAACTGATAGTGAAGTGAAATATCTTTGATATATTTCTTTTCATTGTGTTGACGAGCGAGCAAGATCACGGCCCACTTCATATTAAACGGCTATTACAAGTCATAGATATAACTACATACATTTAATCAACCAACTCAGATCAAATTGATACTCGAAATCTCAATTTTGCTGTATAGGGGTTGTTTTAAGCTTCGTCACATAAATTGGTACGATTGTGGTAAAGAATAACTTCTGTAACAATATTTCCACAGACATACCTGGAAAGCCTTCGGTGCCGACACTCGAGGACTGGGACGTGGATCGCGTGGACCTCAAATGGGAGGCGCCGAAGAACAACGGCGGAGCTCCCATCACCGGCTACATCATTGAGAAGAAAGAGAAATACGGGCAGTGGCAGGAAGCTCTAGTCACAACGGTACGTTTCTTACTGGTGGTAGGACCTCTTGCGCGGATAGGTACCACCACCCTGACTATTTCTGCTGTGAAGCAGTAATGCGCTTCGGTTTGAAGGGCGGGGATGCCGTTGTAACTATACTTGAGATCTTAGAACTTATATCTCAAGGTGGGTGGCGCATTTACGTCGTATGTCTATGGGCTCCAGTAACCACTTAACATCAGGTGGGCTGTGAGCTCGTCCACCCATCTAAGCAATAATAAAAAAGACGTGGTGTAGAGCTTGTCTAACTTTTTGAAGTAAAACTTCTTTACGCACGCTTGACTTGGGGAGTAAACTCGTGAATCTGTGACGAGAGCGTTACGAAAAGTGTGATCGGGCGAGGCGAACAGAAGTTGAGACGGAGATATAAGTTAGTGAAGTTAGAAAGAGAGAGAGAGATAGTTTAATTTAGTTTAATAGTGTAGGGACAAGAGATAGGTGCGAGCATATTTTCCATTTCTCTTTCTCTTAGTAGCCAGTAACGTTTCGTATATCTAAGATACAGTGCCTATTGTCTGTATCACACTGTAGGAGCAAGAGGGAGCAGTGCGCGCGTACATTTTCTTTCTCTCTTCCTCGTAGCCAGGGTAGTGAAATATATAATATTACTTATATAATATTATAAAACTGAAGAGTTTGTTTTTTTGAACACGCTAATCTCAAGAACTACTAGTCTGATTTGACATCACGCTAAGACCAATACATCCGGAGCACCAATAAAGAACGTTCCAAAACCGGGGCTTTTTCCCTTTTGAGAGCTTCCGCTGCGTGCGCTGCAGAAACGGTTAAAGTTTCGCTCAAATAATGTATGACAGAATTGTTCCCATTTAAAAGATCAAAAAAAGGTCCCCGACAGCATATGTCTATATATTAAGGTTGGCTCACTATAACGTTTTTTATGCTAACCAAATTTGTTCTAAAATAAAGCATTATTTGTGAACTATTTCGTGCGGATGATGTCGCGGGCAAAATCTAGTAATATTATATATCTGTCAGTAACGTGAAAAATTTGATTAAATTAATTTTGTTCAAGCAATATTTTGTTTCAATCAAAAACCTGATCTAATGTCGATGAAAATGTTGACATCCCGAATTTATCGTTGAATATTGCAGACGCCAGAATGCAAGGCCCGCGTTCCGGATCTGAAGGAAGGCAACGTGTACCAGTTCCGGGTTCGAGCCGTGAACAAGGCGGGCCCCGGCGAGCCCGGCGACGCCACGCAGCCGCACACCGCCAAGGCGCGCTTCTGTAAGTCTCGACTCTAATGTATTTAAGTTATTAATGTGATATTAGGAAAAAAAATACTGGTGGTTAGGACCTCTTGTGAGTCCGCACAGGTAGGTACCACCACCTATTTCTGCCGTGAAGCAGTAATGCGTTTCGGTTTGAAGGGTGGGGCAGCCGTTGTAACTATACTGAGACCTTAGAACTCATATCTCAAGGTGGGTGGCGCCACCGGAGTAGAATTCATTCATACTACCTGGAGCCACTACGTTCATCCACAGTGCGTTTCCAGAGATCTTTTTGCCACGTACCATCCGGCTTTGGAATGAGCTCCCCTCCACGGTGTTTCCCGAGGGTTATGACTTACTTAATGTACTTAACGATAGGCAGCGGCTTGGTTCCGCCCCAGACATTGCTGAAGTCCATGGGCGACGGTAACCACTCAACAGATGGGCCGTATGCTTGTTCGCCTACAAGGGCCATAAAAAAAAAAATACACATATCAGAAAATGGTCTGTTGTGTGTGCGTCGATTGATTGAAACAATTTCCTAATACACATTATTTTGCAACAGTGAAGCCTTACATCAACCGCGACAAGATGGTCGCCATCCGCGTCCGCGCCGGCGCCACCATCAAACTAGACGTCGACATCAGAGGGGAACCGCCTCCGACCAAGACTTGGACTTTCGCTAAGAAGGTACGCCATCACAACTCTAATGAGGTTTTCTGTCACATATAGAAGACCCTACCAGCTGTGAGGAACCATGATAAGAATCGGGACTCTTCAACCAGTTTAAGACCATGCTTGTAACTATGGTTGAGACCTTAGAGCTGATATCTCAAAGTGGGTGACGCATTTACGCTGTAGATGTCTATGGGCTCCAGTAACCACTTAACACCGGGTGGGCTGTGAGCTCTTCCACCCATATAAGCAATAAAAAAAAAATTACCGAAGTTTCTTTAGCGGCATCACACGGTTTTTTCATCAGATAAACTTTTATAGGTTAACCTTCGTTATGCTGTCAGAATTTCATTGCACGCTGAAAATGGCCGAAGTCTCAAAACTATCATCAGCAAGCATGTTCTTGTCTTTCGCCAATGACTAAACAGTTGTAATTTTTACAACATTCTTCTCAGGACATTAACATTGTTTTATTACCAGGTCCTGGAAACCGGAGCCGGCATCAAGATCGAGAACGAAGACTACAACACTAAAATGCAGATATTCGACTCCTCGTGGAAGAACAGTGGCATCTACACCCTGAAAGCGGAGAACGATTCGGGCGTCGACGAAGCCACAGTCGAGGTCACCGTCTTAGGTATGTGCTGTTTATTAATAAATACTGTTTTCATTTAATTAAAAATTACTAGCTGACCCGGCAGACTTCGTAGTGCCCCAATCGATAAGTAAAAGACCTAAACTTTTGTATAAAATAAACTTGAAACAAACAAAAGGAATCCGTCTGACGGGGGACACATCACAGGAAAAACAAAATTGTTATTTTTTTATTTAATTCCGAGCATTTTCATATTTAATCTTTTAAACCTTCTCTGGATATAATAGTCTGAAAATAGAACCATAATAATGTTCAAATTTATAATTTCAATTAATTTTAGTCGAATATCGATTACTGGGGGACCCCATTAGATTTAAAATGCTAAAGATAATCGAATTCTTATAATTCGTTAACGGTTATCGATAATAAAACAAAACTTTATATTACCAAATTTTTTTTCCAGACAAACCTGGCAAGCCCGAAGGTCCGCTGGAGGTGTCCGACGTCCACGCCGAGCACGTGAAGCTGAGCTGGAACAAGCCCAAGCACACGGGAGGGCTGCCGCTCAGCGCCTACGTGGTCGAGAAGATGGACACCCTCACCGGGAAGTGGGTGCCGGCCGGTACCGTGCAGCCCGACACCACCGAGGCCACGGTTACAGGTACGTGCCACGCCCGGAGCCATCCAGTCGGATGTCTGACTATCAATTGTAGTGTGATTAGTTGAAGATTTAAAATTGTATGTTCAGTATATGAATTTAGTATTAGATAAAAAAAAACACCTGAATTCGTGTAGGTTTTTTTGTAAAGATAGTAAATCCGACCTTATGCTTCTTCATAATATGTCGGGAAACATTCGATGTGAAATTTTACATTTTCAAACTACTTATTTATCAATGTCATGTTCTAAGATTACTTTAGAAGTTTTCACTGGTGGTAGGACCTCTTGTGAGTCCGCGCGGGTAGGTACCACCGCCTCGCCTATTTGTGCCGTGAAGCAGTAACGCGTTTCGGTTCGAAGGGTGGGGCAGCCGTTGTAATTATACTGAGACCTTAGAACTTATATCTCAAGGTGGGTGGCGCATTTACGTTGTAGATGTCTATAGGCTCCGGTGACCACTTAACACCAGGTGGGCTGTGAGTTCGTCCACCCATCCAAGACATAAAAAAAGATGCATAGCATATCGTTTCGATATTGATGAGTTTGTTTTTCTGTTGCAGGCCTCGAACCTGGTCACACGTACCAGTTCCGCGTGAAGGCTGTGAACGAGGAGGGAGAGTCGGAGCCGCTGGAGACCGACCACGGCGTGCTCGCCAAGAACCCGTACGACGTGCCCGCGCCCCCCGGCCTGCCGGACGTCGTCGACTGGGACGAGAAGTCCGTCAAGCTTAAATGGGAGCCGCCCATCCGGGACAACGGGGCGCCCATCACCGGCTACATCATCGAGCTCATGGACAGAGACAGGGGCGAGTTCGTTAAGGTCAGCATAGTCCCAGAGAGGGTTGACAGAACATTAACATGTTGTAAAAATGTAAAATATTTCTCTCGATTTAGTGGGAGTCGATTGTCTATTATTTATTTTGTAATTAATTTGTACCAGTTTGAATAGTTATCAAAAAGCTTGATATTTCGGAAACAGGCTTGTTTGATTATTTTATTATATGTACTAGCGACCCGCCCTCGCTTCGCTTCGGAAACTGTAATTTATTATTGATTTCTCCACTATTTAATGGATGTTATTATACATATAAACCTTCCTCTTCAAGCACTCTATTAAAAAAAACCCCATCAAAATCCGTTGCGTAGTTTTAAAGATTTAAGCATACATAGGGACAGACAAATATAGGGGCAGAGAAAGCGACTTTGTTTTATACTATGTAGTGATATTGATTGGGATAGCAAAAATTTTAAAGAAAATTATTATTCTTGATAGAATAAAAGTAAACAATGCATAACTTTATTAAGTTATGAATTTAATAATAATTCGTTAAATTTCTTCGGCCAGGCCGCCGAAATCCACGGCAACGTCTGCCAGGGTACAGTACCCAAGCTGGAAGAGGGCAACCAGTACCAGTTCAGGGTACGAGCCCTCAACAAGGCGGGACAGTCTGAACCCTCAGAGAATACTAACTGGCACACGGCTAAGCCTAGATTCTGTAAGTAACAGTTTTCTATAATTTAAAGAATGTTCTGCGATGAGCATTAAATTGGCCTCGTCATATCGGATATAGAATAACGCTACATCATCTCTGTATACAATTTTTATTTATTTATTTTTATTGCTTAGATGTGTGGACGATCTGACAGCCCACCTGGTGTTAAGTGGTTACCGGAACCCATGGACATCTACAACGTAAATGCACCACCCACCTTAAGATATAAGTTCTAAGATTTCAAGTATAATTACAACGGCTGCCCCACCTTTCTAACCGAAACGCATTACTGCTTCACGACAGAAATAGGCAGGTTGGTGGTGGTACCTTCCCGTGCTTCAGTAATTACGCAAATTACAATTTTGCGGGTTTGATTTTTATTACATGATGTTATTCTTTCACCGTGGAAGTCAATCGTGAACATTTATTGAGTACGTATTTCATTAGAAAAATTGGTACCCGCCTGAGATTCGAACACCGGTGCATCGCTCAACACGAATGCACTGGACGTCTTATCCTTTAGGCCACGACGACTTATATTTCTGACTAGCGACCCGCCCTCGCTTCGCTTCGGAAACATTATATTTTATTATTGATAGTTGAGTCCCGTGATGTTACCCGCGTTATTGTCGTATCGCGGGTGACGCCGCGGGGTGAAGCTAATCTAAAAAAAGTAGCCTAAATTACTCCTTATATCATTAGCTACCTATCTGTGAAAGTCTCGTTAAAATCGGTCCAGCCGTTCCAGAGATTACCCGGAACAAACAGCAGACAGACAAAAATTGTAAAAAATGTTATTTTGGTGTATGCACCATATATATATTCATATGCATGTAGTAAAAAGCGGTTATTTTAATATTACAAACAGACACTCCAATTTTATTTATACGTATCTAATAGATGTTTAATTGGAAACGTTTGTGTGTCGGTGCAGTGAAGCCGCGTATCGACCGCACGAACCTGGGCGCGGTGACGGTGAAGGCGGGCCTGCCCGTGTCGCTCGACGTCAAGGTCTTCGGGGAACCCCCGGCCACCGTCACCTGGCACTACAAGGGCGAAGAGTTAAAGAACAGGTAATAATATCGTCTGCAGCAGGGGTGAGCAGCCCTTTCAATCGATGGACCGATTTAAATTTAAATGTTTTGACGGGCCGCACGTAGGTTAACTCTTATTAATAATTTACAAAATTAGAATAAAAAAATATAAAACTAAAAAAGAAAGTATAGATTTTATATATAAATTTTAATGCAAGATAAAAACAAATAAGAAAAGAACAGAAACGATAAAGTCGATAAAATTTATTCAGTTTTAGTAAATGCTTGGTGGGCCGCATGTTACTCATCCTTGTTCTATAATGAGAGCATCTCCTCCTCTTCTGTTTTTTTTTAATTTTCATTATAGCAACTCGATATTTGCTATGCCATTGTTGCCAGTATCGACTTTAAAACGCTTAATTTTTACATAAATATACTTCACATCAAAGATGAATCGAAATAAAAGGTAGTGGGATTATTGGACATTGTAATTAATTTGGATGAAATAGAATGAAATGAAATGAAACGGATTGAGGGGAAATAAATTAACGTTCTAGTATGATAAAGTGTCGGAATTGAGTCTTTGGAGGAATCCGAGAAACTATGTCCTTGTTTCATTTTATTTTCAAAATAAAACAACTTCGCTGTACACGTTCCCATCAAAAAGTATGTCACTTCATTAACTATACTATCTTAGGGAAGTGTCTAATGTTATCGATACTTTCAGTTAAATTAGGAGGTATTTGACGGTTGTGATTGAGACAAATTTTTTTTTCGTTATCATTACATCTAGGGATAAAATTATAAGCAACATTATCGATATTGTTTTGTATCAATCGAGTGCTGTAAATGTTACTACTATGTTATAATTTTTTATCGATACCAGGGAAAACCTCGAGATAATAAACGTGGACTACAACACGAAGTTCCTGATGACGAAGAGCAAGCGCGCCAACAGCGGCGTTTACGTCATCAAGGCGAAAAACGAAGTGGGAGAGGACGAGGCTGAAGTTGAAATCACTGTGCTGGGTCAGTTGACTATTCTAAACATTGCCACTTTAGTCTATAAAGTTGCATAAAACATGAAGACACAGACAATATATTTCATTTAAAGACCGAAAAATATTAAAATCGATTTTACTTTTCAGTGTAAATTACTTAATCGGTGTTAAGCTCGCGGCCGACTTGGTGGAAAGTGGCTATTAGAGCCATAGACATTAGCGCAACGTGAAAGCCACCACCCACTTTGAAACTTCCGGTACAAGTCAGAATTGTGTTGTATAACGGCTGTTTTACCCATCAACCGAAATGGATGACAGTTTTGCGGTCTCACTCACAATACGTTACCAGGAGTAAAGACTGGAGATTGTCAGAGCTCACAGATACAAGAAAGTGAATGCCGTCCCCTAAAGATATAACCTTTCTTGATTAGATGGATTCGATGGATGGATTTCGATGGATGTCTTATTTGGAATAACACCTACCCTATTTTTAAAAATAAACTCAAAATTTATTTTGTTTCCCGTTAAACTTAGACACGTTAATGGAACCCACTTAATGAGCTATTTTGTATTTATCAAAGCTTAACTTCAAAATGTAGTCAGCGCGATTCAGGCATTTGTCAAATATCTTTTGTTCTGTAATATATATGTGCTACACCAACACGCTCTGCTTATATACTAAGTTCATTTGTTTTTCTATTATCCGAACAGGTAAACCGTCCAAGCCTAAAGGCCCACTTGACGTGTCCGATATCACGAAGAACGGCTGCACGTTGACGTGGAAGAAGCCGGAAGACGACGGCGGCTCTCCCATCGAGTACTACGAGATCGAGAAACTCGATCCGCTCACTGGTGAGTTACTGTTGATTTAACATATCATCGTTGTCAAACCGAAATCTGCTATGTGCACTTTTTGAGATTTTTAATATTTGACCTTTTCATATAGTTCACAGCCCTATCTACCGTATAAAAAAACTGTTATGTGTTAGCTTTAACATTTATCTGTAGCTTTCATTTGATATAGTTCTTAAAAATTCACCTTCATATAAATTTTTATACGATAATGTTTTTACTCGTTAATTCAAAATAGAGTTTTTGCACATAGCAGACTTTGGTTTGACAGCGACGATATATAAAAAAACTATACGAACCCAATTTGTATTAAAATTTTAAGTTAGTTAAAACCTATTGAATATACATTAAAAATGTTAAGATAATACATCATCATTCTCCTGCCCTTATTCCAGTCACCTGGAGTCGGCGCAACATGTTTTCTCCCTCCATACTCCTCTATCATATACCATTTCTTCGCTCACTCCCTTTTTACACATATCGTCTTTCAAGCAATCCAATCATTTTTCTTTGATCTACCTCTTCCTCTTATGTTAAGATAAATGTCGCCACAATTATAAGGTACAAATAACTAACCTTCGTACAAAAGTTCACCTTCTTTTGTACTATCTTCTTATTTGACATAAGAAATATCTTGACGTCTATGTTTGTCTTGTAGGACAATGGATTCCGTGCGGTACAGCCAAAGACACGAAGGCCAACATCGCGGGCTTGCAGGAAGGTAAACCTTACAAGTTCCGAGTTAAGGCCGTGAATAAGGAAGGCGAATCCGAGGAACTCGAAACCGAGAAACCGATTATCGCCAAGAATCCCTTCGGTGAGTATCCGTGTCTGATAATTCTGTTTTTTTTTTTAAATGGATTTTATGACCTTTAGGTCATGTCTTAGTTTAAAATATATTTAAAAAAAATAATGACAATATGGAGTGAAATGAAATTAAATGAAATGAAATGAAGATGATCACATCAATCAACTGAGATGAAATTAAATGAAATGAGATGAGATGAGATGATATGGGATGAAATATAATCTCAGTAATATGGTGATCATTTACTGAAAATTTTTCCGTTGACTTTTTGGAGGATCTCGAGAAGTTACGATGTCCAGTGGCTTTGTTTCATTTTTCCACATTTGTGCACTTTCACAGATATTAAACAATTAATAAACCACCGTTATTACACATTTAAACCTGAAGAAACACTAAATAGACAAAATAAAACAAATCACACAACTTCACTCCTCACGTTCCCGCCAAAAAGTCTCATAATTCCATTTAAATTAATTAAACATAATAGGGTAGGAGTATTCGATAATCTGTGGTCAAAATTAGTATCGATGAAAGTGTCTAAATTTGTACCGCCGTTTCCAGACGAGCCCGGCAAGCCTGGACGTCCCGAGCCTAGGAACTGGGACAAGGACTTTGTGGAACTCGAATGGTCCGCGCCCAAGGACGACGGAGGCGCCCCCATCACCGGCTACATCGTGCAGAAACGAGAAAAGGGAGGGAGGTCGGTATCGAGTTTTTTACATAGCTTTAATAATAAAATTATCGTATCATCGAACGATTCTTTCTGTTTCCATAATAAGTCTCTGTTGTTTGCTTACATGCTAACTGAATCAGTTTGAGTAAGTATTTTTTAAAAAAACTTGTAAAGTTATAATAGTTTTTATTGCCTTAAATAATTGGACGAACTCACAACCCATATGGCGTTAAGTACATGAGATCAGCTCCATAACTTGGATCTGAGATCGAAGTCCCTATTGTATAGTGTGGTAGCTGTCCTGGCTTTCAAATAGGACCACAAAAATAATGGTTGTACTTACCACCATAGACTCTAATTAAGACCTACTTACTACCAGTTAGTTGACTAATAATAGTTTGTTATTTTTTTTTTTGAAATGTACGTGATTAATTGTCTACCCCTAGATCCTGGCAGGACTGTCTCAAGACGACCGGCGACAGGCCCACGGGCCGCGTCACCGACGTCGAAGAGGGACACGAATACGAGTTCAGGGTTATCGCTCTCAACAAAGCTGGTCCTTCAGAACCTTCAGAGCCTAGCAAGTCTGTTATTGCTAAGCCTAGATTCCGTAAGTATATAATGCTCAGATCATATGTTATTTTAACTACATGTTGCTGGTAAATTGAATGCACTGTTGTCATTATATAAGTAATGAAATACAGGCTTTTTAAAGATTGCGACAATTTTATCTCTTAAACAATCGTTACGTTACTGACCGGATACCAATTTTTGTCATCGACAGTGAAACCGCACATCGACCGTAAGAATCTTCAAAAGAAGAAGATCAAGGTCGGCCAGCCCCTCAAGATGGAAGCCGATGTCAAAGGCGAACCAGAACCCACAATCACCTGGACCTTCAACGATCAGACCCTCAAGACGGCAGATCGCGTGACCATCGAGAACAAGGACTATCACACTTCGTTCATCAAACAGAAGATGGCCAGGGCTGACGCCGGAAAGTATGTCGTCACAGCCAAGAACGATTCGGGAACTGACACCGTGGAAGTGGAGGTCGAGGTCGTCAGCAAACCCTCGAAGCCGAAGGGACCGTTGAAGGTATGTCACATCGTATTGCTAATGCAATGAGTCACCGTTGAATTGTCAATCTAAAATAAGTCAAGTTGAGTTCTCAATAAGGCTCAAAATTAAGCGACAAGTTCTTTTTTTTTTATTGCTTAGATGGGTGGACGAGCTCACAGCCCACCTGTTGTTAAGTGGTAACTGGAGCCCATAGACATCCACAACGTAAATGCGCCACCCACCTTGAGATACAAGTTCTAAGGTATCAGTATAGTTGCAACGGCTGCCACACCCTTCAAACCGAAACGCATTACCACTTAACAGCTGGTGGGCTGTGAGCTCGTCTACCCATATAAGCAATAAAAAAAAACTAAAAGTCTCTAATCGAATTTGTGGTTTATTCCAGGTGTCGGACGTGAAGGCCGACGGCTGCAAGCTGAAGTGGGAGCCGCCGGAAGACGACGGCGGCGAGCCCATCGAGAGCTACGTCGTGGAGCGCATGGACACGGACTCCGGACGATGGGTCCCTGTCTGCACCACCAAGACCCCAGAAGCTGACGTCACCGGCCTCAACGAAGGCAAAGACTATATGTTCAGGGTGAAAGCGGTCAACCCTGAGGGCGAGAGCGAGCCGCTCGTCACCGAGTCCGCCACCACAGCCAAGAACCCATATGGTGAGCTATCTTTCAATTAGACGATCAGTAAGTTGTTCCTGAGAGAAAAAACACAGAACTTATGCACAATAATCCCTGTGCAGGCGAGCCCGACTCTCCCGGCAAGCCAGAGTTCAAGGACTGGAGCAAGGAGCATGTGGACCTCAAGTGGGAGAAGCCGGCCAACGACGGCGGGGCTCCCATCACCGCATACATCGTCGAGAAGAAGGACAGGGACACCGGCAAATGGGTTAAGGCGGTCGAGGTACGTGGCCATCCAGTAGTAACGATATACACGACACGCTAAAATTAATTTCGCTTATAGCTACAAAGGAAACTAGACCCCACCACTACTTGGGACACATAGCTAGAAAGAGAGAATAGGTACTATATAAAAATAAAATCGGTTAACAAACAGCCTTAAGACCACTAAAGTTTTACTTTCAATTAAATTATTTAAATTACAAAAAATATGTATATTCAATTCTTTTTTTCCTAACTATGCTGATAGCCTTGAGAGGCTATTTCAGTTTCGCCTTGACGTGTAGGTGAGCTCACGGGGCTCAAACCGGAATGTTGCTAATACTGACCCTAGCAAGAGCAGTGCTTCGCAGAATCTACCACCGGGTCAAAAACGCGACCCACTGAGCAGATCCGGCGAGAAACTCAGTGGGCTGTGTCTATGGGTTAATTCACTCGTCGAGCTCTTCGTCGCAATCGACGGGTTCGGTGAGGACGGTGCTCGGTGCTTGATGTACCTAAAAGCGTCGTTAATGGAACGCGAAGATGCGTAATGAGAATTTTTTAACCTGACTTCACTGATTCTATGTTATATCACAGATAGAGTTCCATTGTTGCTTTGTGTTGCAGGTGCCGGGCAACAAGACGGAGGCCCGGGTGCCGGACCTCATCGAGGGCAAACAGTATCAGTTCCGTGTGAAGGCCGTGAACAAGGCCGGGCCCGGCAAACCTTCTGCCGCCACTGATAACCTCCTGATCAAGGACAGATTCGGTGAGTATCGACCTGAGACTCTACCGATAAAGCCCTGTTCAATTTATATTTTTATTCCTACCTAAGCTGATGCCCTTGAGAGGCCATTTCAGCGTAACCACAACGAGTAGGTGAGCTCGCGGTACTCAAACCTGACGACGTTGCTAACACGAACCCTAGCAAGAGCCGTGCAAAATCTGCCACCGGATCCGAAACGAATTTCCTATGCTAAACCGTTTCAATTATATAGCAAAATTTTCCAAATATGCTTGCAAAATAGACAAATTTTATTTTTCATGAAAGATAAATATGCAGATTACAAAGCTTACACAAATACCTGTAAGTGTCACCAATGGCACACGCTTTGTAGCCTTGTCTCACCTAAACCACTTTACTATAATATGTCCGCACAATGATCTCTAGATGATGGTCTTTCTTCCTGTTTAATGCAATTGCTTTAGTGAAAGTTAGATGTAGCACGTTCATCGGCCTGCCCTGGTGAAACTGCGAATATCTTTGGGTCAACATCATTGCATATAATAATATATAAAAATAAAATCGGATATTCATATACGTTTTCTCCAACAGCCCCGCCGAAGATCGACCGCACCAACATGCGCGACATCACCATCAAGGCCGGGCAGCACATCAGGCTGGACGTCAAGGTCAGCGGAGAGCCGCCGCCGACCAAGACTTGGTGAGTGCTGGCGTCAATGAACGTCTCGCGACATTGCACTGGTGGTAGGCCCTCTTATGCGTCCGCACGGGTAGGTACCACCACCCTGCCTATCAGTTATGCGTTTCGGTTTGAAGGGTGGGGCAGCCGTTGTACCTATACTGAGACTTTAGAACTCATATCTCAAGGTGAGTGGCGCATTTACGTTATAGTTGTCTATGGGCTCCAGTAACCACTAACACCAAGTGAGCTGTGAGCTCGTTCACCTATCTAAGCAATAAAACCAAAAAAATAATCTTCATTATACATATTGAACTATCCATTGAATGCCGAATGTGTTTCCCGTCAGGTTCCACAACAAGGAGAGGTTGTCTACAAGGGACGACCTCTCAGTGGACGTAGAGGACTACAAGACGAAGCTCTCTGTGGTGATAGCTTCCCGCAAGCACAGCGGAAGCTACACGCTCAAGGCGGAGAACAGCAGCGGCAAGGACGAGGCCACCATCCAAGTTCACGTTTTGGATGTCCCCGCTAAGCCCGAGGGACCGCTGAAGGTAATATTAATAATAATTCATATTATTATTAATATTATCAATAATAATATTAATATTATAACATACATATTATTAATAATAATATTAATAATATATTATATTATATTAATAATAATATTAATAATACATAATTTTTGGAACGAAGTTCCTTATGGGACGATGCGGAGGGGTATCCTAACCGGGAAAAAACGTCCGTAACGTAAGATTTTTATTAGTAATGCACACAGTGTACGAGAATTTTGTAATAACGTACAAAAAATAACATATTTTTTATCATTCATTGACCACGATCTCAGAGCGTTCGTTTGCGCAATACACTAACTCTTATGCAAAAAACCGTGAATGAAGTGTACCACAATAAGTTTGCACGTTACCAAATGAGCGTGGGTTGTTGCGAAACCTCCAGTTTTATTTTCTTTATACCTCGAATAGAACTTAATATTAATATTTTTATTAAAAGGATCTTCGTTCCTACCTGGTGTCCCACGACACCACACTTCTTTTTTTTTGTTAACCGTAGCGCAGATAACTTCTCTAAAACAAAATACAATGTTCTCAGATATCGGACGTGCACAAGGAAGGTTGCACGCTGAAGTGGAGTCCTCCGCTGGACGACGGCGGCGCGCCCATCGACCACTACCTCGTCGAGAAGCTGGACACGGAGACCGGGCGCTGGATGCCGGCCGCCAAGACCAAGGACCCCAAGGCCGAGCTGGAGAACCTCGTCCCCGGACACGAGTACAAGTTCAGAGTGTCCGCCGTCAACAACGAGGGGCAGTCCGAGCCGCTGGAGGCAGAACATTCGATCATCGCTAAAAATCCGTTTGGTAAGCATATTGACCGACGCTAGGAATCTATCTGGTGCCAATGCATCATGTCGGTATGGTCGATGTCCATGAGCGTCAGTGTGGAATACTCATCTGCGATTGTTATATAAAAAAAAACGAATTTGAATATGAGACTGGCCACACCCACTTTAACCTACAAATAACTTAAATTAATGTTCTTGAAAACAATATAATGTTTATTTTTAATAAAAGCATTGTTTCACTACCAAACTCCGAGCCTCGTTGTCGTAGCGGAACCAAACTGTTGCAAAGTAAATAAATAAAAATAGATGTGTAAAGAAACAAATGAGCAGATACGAATATTGGAAATTCCATGATATACAAAGTATACTTAATATTGCAATATTTTTTTGTAAATGTGTCATAGACACTTCAAAACCGTAGGTCAGGTCAAAAAGGTTTATTGTAAAATCGCTTTAAAACCGATTGTTTGATTTTCTCTTATTGCGCCACAGACGAGCCCGGCAAGCCAGGCACACCTGAGGTGGTGGACTGGGACAAGGACCATGTGGACCTTAAATGGGAGAAGCCGGTCAAGGACGGCGGAGCTCCCATCACTGGGTACATCATCGAGAAGCGCGAAGTCGGCTCGCCTAAGTGGGTGAAGGCTTGCGAGGTGAGATGTCGCAGAAACATTGTACAATACCCGGCGATAAATATTGCAGATCGACCGTGGGAAAGAGACGGTGAATTTTTGCTTTGCAGAGCGTTACACCAGTCGCACATTACCTAATTGACATTTAGTCTCCATAGATACCCTCGTTAGTGTTTCGTCACAAACAGGTAACGCCCTACATCAAAAACAAAATTAGACGACTGTCTCTTTCAAAATATCGATGTGCAATATTTATTACCTGGTACTGTAATATAATCACGCTGGTTTATAAAATAGTCCTTTGTATCTGATATAGAACATATACTGGCGCGTTGTGAATCCGCACGGGTAGGTACACGTCTCTGCCTATTTCGACCGACAAGCATTAATACGTTCCGGTTTAAAAAGTTTGAACTCATTTCTTAAGGTGGGCGGTGATATTAAAGTTCTCGGTGTCTATAGGCATGTGATGCGTAGAGAGAAGATGCATGTGACTAGGAGGTAGTGCAAGGCACAGGAGGAAGAGGTCGACTGAAGAAGACATGGATGGAGTGTGTGACGATATAAGAGAGAGAGGAGTGAGTGTTGATATGACGGCTGATAGAAGAGAATGGAAGAGAAGAAAAATTTGTTGTGTCGACCCTACCTAGTGGGATAAGGTGGAGAAAAAGGGAGGTTTCTATGAGCTTCAAAAATCACTCAACATTAGGTCTGCCGTGAGCTTGTTCACCCAGCTAAACTATGATAAAAAAATATCGGATGTCAATGGTCAATGCTTATTTGGAGCGTGTATGTTTTTCAGTAAGACCTTAGATGTAGTAATTGTAAATTGTAATTAAATGACCACTTTTATTATTCTGTGCGTTTGCTTCCGCAGGTCGGACCCAACGACAACGACAAGGCCACAGTACCGAACCTGGACGAGGGCACGGAGTACGAGTTCCGTGTCCGCGCGGTCAATGAGGCCGGCCCGGGCGAGCCCAGCGACGCCAGCAAGAGCGTCGTCTGCAAACCCAGGAGACGTGAGTGGAAAGAGGCTTTTCAATCGAATTCAGTTATAATATTTAATCCGGCTTTGTTACTATAGTAACAAAACAGAGGCAACGAGAAACCATAAGAATTTCCACCGGTCACGGTCCTCGCCGAACCCGTCGCTTGCGACGAAAGGCTCGACGAGTAAATTAACCCTCAGACACAGCCCACTGAGTTTCTCGCCGGATCTTCTCAGTGGGTCGCGTTTCCGATCCGGTGGCAGATTCTGCGAAGCACTGCTCTTGTTAGGATCAGTGTTAGCAACACACCCGGCTTGAGCCCCGTGAGCTCATTTACACGCCAAGCAGAAGCTAAAATAGCCTCTCAAGGCTATCAGCATAGGTAGGAAAAAAAGAATTTCCAAAGCAATGGTAACCCTTAATTTAATTATACCGAAATTCCAGTGCCCCCCAAGATCGATCGTCGCAACCTTCGCACCATCAAGGTCCGCGAGGGCGAGCCCATCGCGCTGGACGTGAAGGTCTCCGGCGAGCCCGCCCCCGAGGTCACGTGGACCCTCAACGGAAAGTCCGTCCTCAGTGGAAACGGACTTAAACGTAAGTTGTCATTCGGATGCCACAGCGGCAGGGCTGCGACCCCTGGAGGCAATCTGTCGGCACGAGGACTTGCTTGACGATATCGCAACGAATGAGTTATATCGAATATTGGAGCCCTTCGACTATCAATAGGCACGGGCAGCGCGATTCGCCCACTAACTTCAGAATTTTTTTATCCGTTGAGTGCGTTTGGAGCTAAGCGACCGTATGTAGTGCCCAACTCTTCACAAACCTACCTGGAACCTCAAAGCTATCTTCCAAAGAGTCAGAGGTATTCTCCAGGACTATCTGCCAATAAAACAAAAAGCATTTACTATTACCATCTAAAATTAATATTTCTGAATGAATTGAATAATACTCATGAATTGTGTTGTATTGTAGTGGTGAACGTGCCGTACCTAAGCAAGTATCAGCACGCGAGTCCGCGCCGCAAGGATTCCGGCACGTATAAGATACAGGCCACCAACAAGTACGGGCAGGACACCGCCGAGCTCGAGATCATTGTCACATGTAAGTTCATTATAAAAACACGATTTGTCGTGAAAAGCTTTAGCTTTTAATGATCTCATCACTATGAAATCGGAACGCACGCAAGATAATCCCACGCAGTCTTCATTATTATCATCGTAAAGAAAAAATGTATGCTCGTTTTCCAAATAACTACCTATCTATATAGATACCTTTTATGTCTTCTATCTTCTATATAAATAAAAATGAGTTGCTGTTCGTTAGTCTCGCTAAAACTCGAGAACGGCTGGACCGATTTGGCGAATTTTGGTCTTGAATTATTTGTGGAAGTCCAGGGAAGGTTCAAAAGGTAGATAAATATGAAAATGCTCGGAATTAAATAAAAATAACAATTTTGTTTTTCCTTTGATATGTCCCCCGTCGGGCGGATTCCTTTTGTTTGTTTTAAGTTTATTTTCTACATAAGTTTAGGTATTTTCTTTATCGATTGAGGCGCTACAAAGTCTGCCGGGTCAGCTAGTTAACCTACCTAAAACTTATCTGAGATAATTTGAAAGCACTATTGAATTGAATACAACGTAATAATTCAACAGCGAAACCCGACAAGCCGGAGGGGCCTCTCGAAGTGTCGGACGTGCACAAGGACGGCTGCACGCTCAAGTGGAAGCGGCCCAAGGACGACGGAGGCGAGCCCATCGACTCCTACCTCGTCGAGAAGTACGACACCGAGACCGGCGTGTGGCTGCCCGTGGGCAACACCATCGGCAACGTGCCCGAGATGGAAGTGAGTGACCCGAATCTGTGGACTCTCGGCCGCCATTACGTTACGTGAAAAGTATCAATAACCACTGCAATGGAGAATCTGTCTTTATGTCTTTTTTTATTGCTTAGATGAGTGTACGAGCTCACAGCCCACCTGGTGTTAAGTGGTTACTGGAGCCCATAGACATGTACAACGTGAATACGCCACCCACCTTGAGATATAAGTTCTTAGGTCTCAGTATAGTTACAACGGCTTCCCTTCAAACCGAAACGCATTACTGTTTCACGGCAGAAATAGACATGGTGGTGGTATTGGTTTGCCTGATTGAGAGTGGCAGGAACATTAGATCTCTATTTTATATGTGTATTTAAACAATCTTTAATATATTGTTTTATTCTCAAGGTCGAGGGTCTAACGCCGGGCCACGAGTACAAGTTCCGCGTGAAAGCCATCAATAAGGAGGGTGAATCGGAGCCTCTAGATACGTACGGAGCTATTGTCGCTAAGGACCCCTACAGTAAGTGTATCGAGCTACCCTTACAATGTGATGTGTGCCTCACGGTATAACTTAACGAATTTTATGTTTACTAACTTAGAAAGACATATATGTAGAGGGATTTTTTATTGAGTTGTGTATCGTCTGTAGGCAGGGGTTTGACCTGGCCACTGATATTGATGGTTTCCATGCGCCATGATGACTATTTAACATCAGATGAATCGTATACATACCGGATTTGGAAAAAAAATCCTTCCGTGATGTTCACTGAGCCCTATGACCTGTTCTTAACGGCTTGACATCGAATAGTCTTTCTGCAGTCGGTGATGTACGTTAGCGAGGTTGACCATGTCAGTGGACCCCACAAATAAACCAGTCTAATTTATTTGTTATCTCTTCAGCCGTACCAGATGCGCCTTCAGCTCCCGTACCAGACGACTGGTCGGCAAACCACGTGGACCTCAAATGGGAGGCGCCGCTATCAGACGGAGGATCACCCATTATCGGCTACATCGTCGAGAAGAAAGACAAATACAGTCCGCTGTGGGAGAAGGCTGTGGAGACCCACACTCCCACACCCACTGCTACTGTAAATGGGTAAGTTAAGATAAGACTCGTCTGGGTTCTCGGAGCAGTGTGCTTAGTGCGTGCTTTTTAACGTACTCGATAGCGTAAAAGTTAGCCCAAATTTTGTATGCAGTTGGAACAGCGCCCCTAGCGGCAAACGCAGGCAAACGATCTCATTCCATACAAATATATAATTAAAATCATAAATAAAAAGAAATTAGTATGACTAAGCTACATTGATAATATTGAGGGAGTTGCCATAGGTAATTTTTTTGTTTTAAACAATTCACATTAAAGTTAATTTTTACGCTATCGAGAACGTTAAAAAACTCGCACTAAGCACACAGATGTTAGATCGAAGTCTCAATAAAACTATAATAACCGTACTAGCCTTCCAATAGCAACCGTAGCCAGTTCGAGCGAGACTGATAATATGCGTGACGGTGAAGACGTTCATGAACACGTCTTTCATAGAAAAGTGCATGTTCCCGTAATGGGACCTTGTATCGCATCCCTCGAGTACTTCGGGCGTCAAAATGTGCTCCCACCGCGGAACTGTAATATTGATTCACAATAGGATAGTACTGTGTGAAAACTGTTGACCACCAGCACTTGTTATATATTTATTTTATATTTGCAAGTGTCATTTCTTTAAATGTTTTTATAATGTTTTATTTTATTTACATCAAAATAAAGCTTAGCCTAGTAAAACTAGAGCACAAACTGAGTTGCTCTATAAAGAGAAACAACATTTAAAGCTATTGCTTCACCACTTTTTATGTTTTTTATATTTCAATATTCAAAAATGTTTTAATATTTCTAATGTTCCTTCTTCTTACGTTTCAATATTCAAATTACCATTTATGTCACCTTTATAATATACTAGCTGTACCCGTCCGCTTCGTTGGGCATTTAAAATTAACATTAATATTTCTCACCCCCACAAAGATTCTCATCATTAACGCCCCCGCAACTGGTGTAGGGAATCCAACACTCATATAAATATTAGCTTAGGAACATCCATAAAAACCACTAGATTTGTATATTAGTATAGATTAATCCCTTTTAAGATTTATGTCATAAATCGCATAGAGGTTACATGTTCATAAAAATTGCAATAACTTAATTTTATCAACCCGTCTAGGCTAATCGAAGGCAACGAGTACCAGTTCCGTGTGATCGCGATCAACAAGGCTGGTCAGAGCAAACCCTCTGACTCTTCTAAGAACTTCGTGGCGAAGGCTCGCTTCCTGGCTCCGAAGATCGACAGGAGACATCTCCGTGACGTCACTCTATCCGCCGGAGCTACACTCAAGCTGGAGGCCGCCGTCGCTGGAGAACCAGCTCCAGCTGTTGAATGGAGGTAAGCTTGGATAGTTTTTTACTCTCAAAATTATTTTTAAACAAGCGGCCCGCTCCGGCTCCGCTCGGGTCTTTAACAAAAATTTCAACGATATTTGACGTTGTTTTATTTTTTAAATAAAATAACACTTATTGCGGCATAACTATAATAGTTAGACATGTGCTGTCGCGACACATTTTGTAAATAATAATGTGTTCTACAAAGTCATAGCACATTATTTTATTCTATCATCAATAGTTTTCATAGGGCATGCGATGTAAAGAATATTTTAGGTAATTGTTTTACACCTTGGGCTACATTATTGGAGTTTTAGTAAGGATCCCTATTTTTTTTCAAAAAAGATTATACCCTATGTCACTCGGGAATAATGTAGCTTTCAAATAGTTAAATAATGTTTCGGTGTTTATTCAATACAAACAAATAAATAAAGCTTTCCTCTTTATAATATTAGTATAGAAGTATTGTATGTCTCAAGGTGGTTGCCGGCATTTACATTGCTGATGTCTATTGGCTCTGGTAACCATTTGACACGAGGTGGAACGTGAGCTTTTCCACCCCTTTACACAACAGACTAAACTGTATGTCAAAATGTCTAATCAATAAAAACAAAATGGTAATAACTATGCTCTTATTTTATAATACTTATTTTCATTTAAAGATACCAAAATATGCCTCTGCGGCCATCGAAGGCGGTGACTATCGACAATCCGGAGTACTTCACAAAGCTGGTGGTGCGGCCGGTGCGGCGCGACGACACCGGCGAGTACACCGTCACCGCGGTCAACTCCAGCGGGAAAGACGCCGTCACCATCAACGTCACCGTCACCGACAAGCCCACCAAGCCCGAGGGACCGATACAGGTGACAACGGAATATTGCTTCTCGTTAATTACTTGTTATTAAATTTATTTGTATCGAATAGACTAGAGCGCCATCTGTCGTACTTTGGTAGTACTATTCCGGGAACTAATCGATCAATGTGATAGGAATTTTTATTATTTTATTGCTTAAATGGGTGGACGAGCTCACAGCCCACCTAGTGTTAAATGGTTATTGGAGCCCATAGACATCTACATCGTAAATGCGCCACCCACCTTGAGATATAAGTTCTAAGGTCTCAAGTATAGTTACAACGACTGCCCCACCCTTCAAACTGAAACGCGTCACTGCTTCACGGCAGAAATAGGCGGGGTGGTGGTACCTTCCGTATAGACTCACAAGAGGATACCACCAGTAAATGGGTCCAGGAAAGTGGATCTATTCCAAGTTAGGTAATCTCTTATTACGCCGCTGATGTCTATTGGCTCCGTGAGCTCATTTACACGTCTAATCGATAAAAATAAAAACGTTTTATTGCCCCGGTTTTCTCACTGATATGTTATATTGAATCGCAGATCTCGGATGTCCACAAAGAGGGAGCTACACTCAAATGGAAGAGGCCCAAGGACGACGGCGGCACTCCCATCGAGTACTACCAGATCGACAAGCTCGACACCGACACCGGCTGCTGGGTGCCCTGTGCTAGATCTGAGGAGCCTAGTGAGTTTTTGTTTGTGATTATTGCTTTGGGAACAACTAGACGCGCCCTTGCTGAGCAGCGCATTCATTGATTTTTTTGTGTCATAAAAGTAAATGAAAAGTAAATTTTAGTCATTTTGAAAATTAAAAAAGCTATAGAAAGTTTTTTTAAGATACTCTCGCCTGAAAAGGAGCAGTATACCAGACCTAGCAAAAAGATTTGCAGATAGAAGATGAAAATGGTACCACTGGGGACCACAACTCAGCTAACTCAACTTCTCCTGATGAAAATCTGACATCAAATTAGATTATTGTATTTGAAGAAACAGATTGCTAAGTTGCAGGATAGAAAAAAATTTTTTTTTTCTTAAACTATTTTATATAATGACGTCATCGTCTCAGAGCGCAACAATTGTATTGTTTGTTGAAATTTGCGTCACCAAAATATCAGTAAAATAGCTTCCAGCTATTCTTTTTTTTTTTTTTTTATTGCTTATCTGTGTAGACGAGCTCACAGCCCACCTGATGTTAAGTGGTTACTGGAGCCCATAGACATCTACAACGTAAATGCGCCACACACCTTGAGATATAGTTCTAAGGTCTCAGTATAGTCACAACGGCTGCCCCACCCTTCAAACCGAAACGCATTACTGCTTCANGTTCTTGCTCTTGAACGACAGATGGCGTTACCCGTACGTAACAATATTATTATATAGACACAGGTTTTCCCATAAAAGTTGAAGATGTTGTTTTTTAAGACGGACAGGAAACTGCTTCCTCGATATCGTTATCAGGAGCCACCAGGGAAGTTAACTAGTTGAGTTGACCACTGGGAGGGAGCTCTCAACAGAATGAAGCGGTACTTCCCAGTCTTAGTACGTGGATGCTAACGGCTAACAAATATCTTTGTAATAAATAAACAAATCGTTGGGTTAACAAAACGTTCAACGAGTATCTAGTTATTTCTACATCAATATAATGTGTCGATATATATAAAAAAAACGGTGCGCGTGCAACTTGGTGCGCGTGAATGAAGTGAAACTTCTTTTTCGATGCGTAGTATTGTGGTTTTCTTCGTTTTTTATCCTTAAATCAGATTGCTCTTGTAATAGGGAATGCTGTATATAAGAGATGCGACATCTTAAAAATTTATATTATATTATATATTTTAAATTATAGATAGAAAAATAAATACAATTTTTTTTTAAATACTTCATTAAAATATTGAATGCTAGTCGTTTCTAAAGCTCGCACTGGCCTGTAACAAGTATACTACGCACATGCGTTCGAGTGCCGCGCATTCACTCTCGCTCTGTCTCTTTCTATTCCCCCTCCCCAGGAGCGTTAAACGTTTAACGCAACCTTGTTCGAAGTCGCATTAGAAGTTTCACTTCAATATAAGAGTTTTTGGTATAACTAGTCAAAGGAGTTCATTAATATTTATNTCGTTTCTAAAGCTCGCACTGGCCTGTAACAAGTATACTACGCACATGCGTTCGAGTGCCGCGCATTCACTCTCGCTCTGTCTCTTTCTATTCCCCCTCCCCAGGAGCGTTAAACGTTTAACGCAACCT